AATAAGATGAAGTTACTATCTTTTTCCTAATATAGGAGGCTGGCACCCACACTCCATCAGTGGGGGTTAAATATAGAAATGGGGGCATATCAGTCCCTCCCACAGTGCAGTCAGTGGCTCCAGGGCTCTGGCTGCTAACCACTGCTTTGGGTTGAGGCCCTGATCCAGCCAGCCGGGCCTCGGGAAAATAAAATTAAGCCTCTATTTTTAAGCCAGTCAGCACATTGTCGATATTAAGGTGGGGGTGCCCATTAGCAGTTAAATGTTAGATTCAAAAATATCTTTGGTACCCAGTGTTTACCCATACATTAGTGCTGAGTGGGTCTCCCTTTTTTCCTCCCCCTAATGCCTGAAACAAGCGCCATCTCTGAAGACAGCAGATGCTACAATTTTGTTGTCATCTTAGTTACAAATCTGGGGAAACTGCCGTGGTAGCTGCGCTTTGCCAAAGCTGCTTCCCAGTGTTGGCAGCACCATGGTGCCTGTGACAGGACGTGGTGAGGAGGCTTACAGTGGGATCCTGGAAAGAGGCATTTCGGCAGGCTGCAGCCACCATGGCAAAGGCCAAGACGGGTGATGGGCTGTGCCAAGCTGGGTCAGAGCAGGCACGGGCATGCACCAAGAACTATGGCTGGGTTGTGGTTCCCACTGATGAGCATGGTGGCTGGAATATGGTTGGCAATCTGGGCTGGGCATGACTGCAGAGTCCCTTATAGCATGGGTGTGGACTGGGCCTGGGCTGTCCCAGACCGGGCTAGACTCCAGCACCCACTGGTGCTCATGAGAGCCTGGGTGGATGTAGGACAGGCTGGGCTAGGTCTTAGCTCCGGCTGAGCCACGCAAGAGCTGTGTCTAGGTGTGGACCAGAATGGACGCAGGCCAGTTGGGAAAGGCCACTGTTCCTGCCAGGACAGGAGGTGGGCTAAGTCAGCCTGTGCCAAGGACCCACTGGTACTGCAAAATCTGGCACTGGGAGCAGACCTGGTAGAAGAGCTCAGGGTACTCCTACAGAGAGTAGGAGACATAGAAATAGCTTCCATCTGCTGGTTCACTCCCCACGTGCCCATACTGGCTGGAGTTGAGCTGATCCAAAGCCAGGAGCAAGGAGCCTCTTCCAAGTCATCCAAGCAGGTGCAGGGTCCCACAGCTTTGGGCCATCCTCTGCTGTTTTTCCAGGCCACGGGCAGGGAGCTGCAGGGGAAGTGGACTAGATAGACACAAATCAGTGCAAATAAGGTGAGGATTCAGCCACTAGACTGTTGTGCCGGTCTCTGACCTTGTCACTTCTCTCAGCCACAGGAATGGGCAGCTTCCACACAGGCCTGCAGGGACTCAGGGCAGCTCTTCTCCAGGAAGGCAAGAGAGGGCTTGCCATCAGCGTCCGGTTGTAGACAGTTCCCTTCCTTCTGAGTGGCCACCAGAGCGCAGGTGACACGTTGTGTTGCAGCAGACCCACTTAACCGTCCATTTCTGGGGTCCACTACAGCCACATTTAAAAGTGCCATGTAGAAGCCACTGGAGGAGGCTGGAGGCTCAGGCGGCTGTTGGGCAGTTCCCAGCCAGGCCTGTCTCCTCTGGCTTGGCCCGGCTTCAGCCCCTGCTGGGCCAAGAGCCCGCCTTTGAAGGGCAAGCATCGGTGATTGGACAATACTGGAGTTTCCCCAGGAGTGTAATACAGGTTTTCTGTGCAGTGAGTTCAGCTGCTGTGGCCTCCTGGGGTGCAGGCTTATGGGAGGGACCATGTGCATCCAGCTGAGGGCCCCTGTGACTGGCGGTGTTGTGACCCTTCAATGCCCTGGTCATCTGCCGTGGTACCAGTCACTGTTCCCACACGTGGCACCAAGCCCCAGTCTGGATCTCATCTCCTACACCCAGCTCCCTGATTTGGGCAGAACACTGGCTCTGTCCCTCAGACACAGCCTCTCCACACAACCACACGGCATGCCTCAGAGGCTGCGGGGCCTCCATGCTGGGCCCGGGAGTTGGCTCGCGGTGCTGAGAGGCCTTTGGGCAGCGCCACCCTGCTGCTGCAGGTACTAGCACACCCCTATGCAGCTCTCGTGGCATTGCATGTGTCCACGAGCCCTGGAGGAAGCGGCCTGTGGGCATACGCCCTCTCTTTGGCTCCTTAATGCTTGTGTATCTATGCACAGAGGTGCACGCTAGCACAGCACATAGGCCTGAAGCCAGGGTGCCTGTGTAGGCAAGGCCCTGTGTTCGGACCGTGCCTGTACCCTCCTGAACCCAGCGTGTGCGCCTCTCTGTGTAGCTTATCCCTCAGAGATGTTCTGCTTCTCTTTCCTTTGCTGATCAGCTAGCTCCAGACCTCGCATCTCCCCAGATCAAACTGACAGTGAGCTTAGCAGATGTCCATGTGTACCACAAGCTTCCTGTGCGGCCAAGCCCGGGTGACCCCAGGGTGCATCCCATCACTCGTGTCACGCCCGTGTGTGGGCGCTGTTGTCTCATCTAGGGTGCGGAACCCAAGGCGAGGCAGGTGTACGAGCAGGTGGTTCTATAAGAGCAGCTGTGTCAACTCCCACCCAGCGTCATGGCCATGCCTTCCCTATCGGGAGCAGGATCCTCTTATTCGTTAAGAAACACATTGATATAGAAACATTTTTTTTAAATCAGGATTGTGGCTTTGCCTTTTTTTTTAAAGATTTATTTATTTATTAGAAAGGCAGATATACAGAGAGGAGGAGAGACAGAGAGGAAGATCTTCCGTCTGATGGTTCACTCCCCAAGTGAGCGCAACGGCCGATGCTATGCCGATCCAGAGCCAGGATCCAGGAACTTCTTCTGGGTATCCCACATGGGTGCAGGGTCCCGAAGCTTTGGGCCATCCTCTCCTGCTTTCCCAGGCCACAAGCAGGGAGCTGGATAGGAAGTGGAGCTGCTGGGATTAAAACTGGCATCCATATGGGATCCCAGCGCGTTCAAGGTGAGGACTTTAGACACTAGGCCACGCCGCCGGGCCCGTCTTTGCCTTTTAAAAATAAAAACAAAAAGCCAACTTTTGTTACAGAAATGGAGAGGTCAAGCCCCCAGGTGTGTGTCCCTCTGGCTTCGCCCCTTATCTCCGGGTGTTCAAATCTCAGGCATCCTACATAGGTGACTCCCTAAGTAGATGCTCTGACATCTGCAGCACCCTGATCACACCCTCCCAAACAAGGTTCCAGGGCCCCTGTGTCCTCACACACCCAACCCACGGTCCTCCCCGGCCATCCTCAGCCTGTGGCCGTTCCCCTGTTGGCACCCCATGTGGCAGTTGTGTGGTTTTAGTGTGGGACATGTGATTGGTGTGGTTCCTAAGAGACGAGAGCTGAGCGGGTGGAGGCAGAAATGCAGGCACAGGGTTCAGCCTGTTCCCTTGCCCACGACCCCACCTGCCCGCACTTTTCCTGACGTGCAAACCTGCCTTTTACAAGGAGAGGGGAGGGGGCCTGGTTTTTTATCTCTGCATTTTTAGAAACCATTCCATACTCTAGGGATTCAAATGCTCACAGCTTTCCAGCTGGTAGGCTGATCGATATCACTTTGAAGCTTTGAAGGACCAACAGATGGGTTGATATCGGCAGCCCAGTCCAGCCTCCTGAGAGGGACAGTGTACATTTTTAATGAAATAAAATACATGCGGTGCTCAATATTCTGTGGCCCTTGGCGTCCAGCTTCTCTCCCTTGGTGTGGCGTTCTGAGCTGTGCCACATCATAGCGGGTATCATTCCATGGCATGGATCACGCCCCCTCCTGTTCGGCTGTGCCCGCACCATGTGCTGGAGTCCAGCTCCGGCCAAGTTTGGGACTCGTGAAGGGTGTGTAGAGTAGGCATAAAGAGGAAAGAAATTGACCACTACAATTTCAGGATCATAATGAACAGTGCAAGAATGCTTCACAAATTCTTCATACCTTCAACTTTCTAAGGATAGTCCTGCCAATTGTTTCCCCTTGAGGCAGGATATCCGCCGGCCTAATCCTGAGGTCTGGAAGTTCTCAACAGATGGCACAAATCAATCAGTAACACATTCCTACTACAATCCTCATTCCACAGCTCAGTCTTGGATCAGTTAAGGGAGGAAATGCACCACAGAAGGAAGGACCTGAAGATCAGGGAAAGAAGGAAAGAACCTAACATAGATTCCCACTGCAGCCAGGGACGTAACAGCCTGGGTTAGTGTATGGTCAATGGGGCAGCTGAGACAGCACGAACAGTAAAAGGCCCTTTTGCAAGGCGTTGTCAGCAACATCAACTTCCAAGCTCACATTGATAGTAAAGACCCACTCCGCAGTGGCAGACAAAGCCTAAATAGATGACAGAAATCTCAGCGGGGTTGTCCGGTGTCCGTGCATAGGGAGGTGGAGATGCCTTCCGGTGGATGCAGAGGCATCCGCCAGGCCCTGCCACGGAGCGGGAAATTCCTTGCAGCCTTGCCTGCAGTGGAACAGTTCTCTTCACACCTCCGTGTCCTCCATACCCACTGCACAGACCCCAGCACTGGTGGACACCTGCTTGTCCCCGCTGGTCAGCTGGCTGTGGGGTAACATTTGTGATGGCTGTGTACAGGCGTTTCTCTGAACATACTTGTTTTGATCTCTCAGAAATGGAGTTGTTGGGCCATATGGCTCCTCTGTTCTCAGCCTTTTAAAAAACTCCCATTTCTAAAGCAGCTGCCTTGTTTTCCACCCCGTCCTGGGGGTGGCTTCTGCCTTCCCTGCAGCCTTGTTTGCACCTGTTACCCTCTGACTTGCTTGCCCCCATCCCGTCTCGGCAAACGCACACATCCCTGGCAGCTGTGGCAGGGAGCAGAGTGTGTAGGGTGAGGAGAAGGGTTGTTGCCCTGTGTGGGTCTCGGGCATCTGCCAGGGTCATTTGTCAGAGCTCCTCAGGAAACTGGCGCTGAGTGGGCCACAGGGGGCATGTGGGCGCAGCTCTGGGTGGGCCACATGGGGATGTGAAATGGCCTGCCTCCCCTCATGTGCCTTGTACCTCTGCTTCACAGGTGTCACCATGAAGCTCATGGATGAGGTAGCTGGCATTGTGGCCGCACGCCACTGCAAGACCAACATCGTCACCGCTTCCGTTGACGCCATTAATTTCCATGACAAGATCAGGAAAGGTACAGAATGGGAGATGGGAAGGGAGTGGTGCTGAGGTCCCCGTGCCTCCCAGGTGGTGCTCCCTGGGTCTCTTGTGCCATTGTGGCTTAGTTTACGCCGTGCCACCTGTGGGTTGAGCTGCAGGGCATTAGAATATGTGCTTGCTTGGTTCTGGCTGCTGTAAGACTGGGATTGGTGACGAGGTCTGAGCTTCCAATCTGGTGAAACCCACAGCACAGACAGCTCCATGGAGAGTCCTGTGCTTGGCTGCCGTGGCCATAAGCACCAAACCAGCAGCAAACATCCCAGTGAGGGCAGTGATTTGGTGGTGACAGGAGCAGCACAGGGAAGCCTTCGGCGGCCAGCCCTGCCCGTGCCCTCAGCGGCCTTGCACCCATGTCCAGGACCTCTGTGCGTGCTTGTGGAAATGAGGTGGCATTTCTGTCTGTACCAGGTGTCCCAGCTGAGCCTGTGTCGCCCCTCCTGCATGGGGCAAAGGGCATCAGACCCACCCAGCCTTTACTTTTTGGAGGAAGCAGTCGGTAGGGCTGCTCCCTGTGGGGTGGGGGTGTGGGGGGTGACAAAGTGAAAGAAATGCCAGCGAGGCACTCCTCACCACACCCTGGTCCCCAACCTTCGTGGTGCCCCAGCCCAGCTGTGGTGCTCTCTGGCAGCTGGCAGGTGGCAAGGCAAGGACCTGAAGGGGCAGGTGAAGTCACGGGAATTCTAACAGTTTGAGGGAAGGGCTTGGACAGTCTGTCGCGTGGCTCTCTTCCTGGCAGCGGTGTGCCTCCCATCTCTCCTCAGGTGACCTGCTCTGTAAACATTAGAGGGAAGATGCCGTGTCTTGTGCCTGGGGAAGTCGCCCTGATGACACGCACACCTTTCCTGGCGCCAGGGGAGGACCCTGACAGCCCTGACACACTCTGATTGTCCTGTGAGGACTGTGCCAGCCAGGCCCCTTAGCATCAGCACGCAGGGCTTGAGGCTGACGCCACTGCAATCAGAACAGTTGGAAAGAGGACACCCCCCACCACTCTTCACTCTCAATTCTTGCTCAGACAGAGGTGGGTAGCTGCAGTGGCTGAGAGTGACTTACTTGAAAGTCAGAGTTACAGAGGGGGGCAGAGACGAAGACCCCCGTGCACTGGTTCGCCCTCCACGGGCCAGGGCAGGACCAGGAGCTGAGTTCAGGTTTCCCACAGGAGTGGGCAGGGACCCGAGTACTCGAGCCGTCCTCTGCTGCAGCGTCTGGGGTTTACCTTAGCAAGAGGCTGGAATCAAGAATAGCGGGGAGCACTCGTGTAGGACTTTCAGAGGTCCCATGTAGTGGCTTAGCCATTGCTCCAGAGGCCCCACACAGAAGCTGTCACTTTTGGTAGGCATTCCTGTGGGTCAGTGTGCTCCCAGAATCCAGGATGGGGCTGGCCGAGTGTCCTCGCCCGGTTGCCACTGCCATGAAAGGCTGCAGGGCAGAGTCGTACTCAGTACTGACTGGATTCCCCCCATACCCGCCTGCCTTGGCTTTGGCCTTGGGTCTGTGCCGCCAAGGCCTGTTGCAGCCAGCTCTACCTGGAGCGGAGACAGAGCTGCCATTGTCCTATGCTTGCTGTAAACAGAAAGAGCGGCTGTAGAGTGATTGTGCGTGCGCCCAGGTCCTCCAGGGGCCAGCACTGTCACACCTGATTTGTTCTCCGCCAGAGGAGTGACACGCTCGAGTCGTCAGCTTATTTCCTGCTCTCTCCCTGGCAGCCAGGGTTTCAGTGCTGGCAGCAGAATCTGCAGGAGCTTCATGGGCTGTGTGACATGTCGCCTTAGGCCCACGGGGTCTGGCCTGGGTTCCTGATATGCGTGGGGTGGGTCAGAGCAGACAGTAGACCGCCACAGTCGCTTGTGGACCTCAGGACTCCAACACTTCCTTCCATGCCACCGTCCATGGGCCCCGCTCATTGCCTTGGGTTGTGTGAGGCACCATGAGAAGGCTGTGCCAATGACCCAAGCCTCCCGTGTGAGCTGCACACGCCAGGGGCTTGACATGGCAGCTAGCATCCAAGACCAAGGTGTGACAAGGCCACGTCCTCACCCTTCCTGCCTGCCTGCAGCCCCTGTGTCTCTGGGTGCTAGTTGGTTTCCTGGCTGTGGTGGCAATGCTGTGACCTCTGCCTCCACGGCCTCCCCTCACTGTCCCTCTCTAAGTCTCTTCTGGCTCTCCAGGGACACTTGCCGTAGGGTTAGGGTCCTCTGACTGGTCCAGCATGACTACGCCTCAAGGCCTCGCCGTGCTCACAGCTGTGGAGCTCCTGACTGTCGGGCTCCGGCACTCTTCAGCCACTGCAGGAGCTGCTGTTGTCGCCCTGCTGAAATCCGAGTGGCTCACACCTCCCCCAGCCCCCAGCTGCCACTTGCCAGCGTGCATGTGGGTCCAGGAGGGAGGGGCGGGCCTGCAGCCTGCTGGTGATGATGGCTGGCCTGGCTCTGGGTGCAGTCCCGTGAGCGCAGGGCTGCAGCCTTGCTGTCCAGGGCTCCTGGTGAAGGAGCAGCATGAGTCCTCTGAGCTGAGTCAGGAGGGAAGCAGGGTGGGAACACACCCATCAGCCCTGGCGAGCAGAGTTGAGTGGCTGGGACGATTCCGGGGTCAGCCAAGGCGCCGCTCGTGTCATTGCTGGGGCAGTAACTCAGTTTGGAGTCCAGGGTAGCATTCAGTCAGGATAAAGATTGTATATATCATGATATTTTGGTGCTTTTGGGGACACCCCTTGCTCTTGTCTGGGCCACTGCAGTGCCAGCCTTGCCCCTCACCAGCCACCAGAGATGCTGCTGCTGAACTGTCACTCCTGTGCTCACAGCTGGCTGCCTGTGTGTGAAGCACCAGGCACTTCAAGTGCCACCTGTCACAGCGTCTGGCAGCTGTGTGGCAAGGTAGGCGCACTGCAGGCAGCAGGGACAGAGGAGGGAGCTTCGTCTGTGAGGCTGCATCTTGTTTAGCCTCAGTGTCCCCGACCCAAAGTGCGGTCTGCCCGCCTCGCAGGGTTCCTCGTCTGGCACAGTGCATCAACCTCCCCTGGTCCTGCACAGGTGTCCCCGACAGCGAGGCCCACGGCCGGCTGGTGCCCGTGCAGGTGTCCCTGACAGCGAGGCCCACGGCCGGCTGGTGCCCGTGCAGGTGTCCCCGACAGTGAGGCCCACGGCCGGCTGGTGCCTGCACAGGTGTCCCCGACAGTGAGGAAGGGCCACTGCCCACACGGGTGTCCCCGACAGCGAGGCCCACGGCCGGCTGGTGCCCGCGCAGGTGCCCACGCGGGTGTCCCCGACAGCGAGGCCCACGGCCGACCGGTGCATGACAGCAGGTGCTTCACGTGCTCCATCTCGTTTGTTGTCGAGACGTGAAAGTGAAAGTGCCCCGGGAACCGCTAAGAAGTGAAAGGGGAAAGTGGCTATATTTAGTGTGGTAGTTTCAGGGTGTTGGGTTAGAAAGCCTGAAGCTGCACTTTTCCAGAGAAGTGATCGCCTGGGAAAAGGAGGAATCTTCTAGAAAAGGCTTTGTGTTATCTAAGAAGTAGCAGGGCTGGTTCCTTCTCCACATTCTCCTTAAGAAACTTTATTGTTACAGTTCCTCTTGAAGTATAGTTGTCACACCATTCCTCAGCTTGCAAGCACTTGACCACCTCGCTTCGCAGGCTTGCTAACAGCTATTCTTTTTAATTATTTTGTTTTCTTTTCCCAATCGCTGGCACTCTGCTGAAGTCTGGCCGCCACTGGCCCAGAAACGATGCCCATGTGCCAAAGCAGCCGGACTGGGCCATCTGCCAGTTGAATGGGCGCGCCATCCAGGCGGCTCAGCAGCTGTTTGAGAGCAGAGTGGCTGTAGCTCACAGCACGACCCCTCCAGGTACTCCTGGGGCTCTGCTCTCCTCCCTCAGGCTGCCAGGCCTTGTACCAAGTGCTGCAGCCTGCTCACCTCTCCCAAGGCCCAGTGAGGATGCAACAAGCCCTGACCGCTTCTCCCATCTGGAAACCGCAGTGCCAAGAGGGCGAGAACCTGCCCACGGCCCCGGGGCCGGTGCTTTTCGGAGCTGAAAGAGGAGGGAGGCTGGCAGACAGATTTGAACCTAAATCTGGTGTCTCCTGACAGCTGGCTCAACCACAAGCCATCCGCTGCATGGACCCTGTTAGGAGCCCTCCGTGGATGTAAGGTGGGTGAGGCAGTGCCTGCTCTGGGTGCCAAGTGGCTGCGGCTGTCCCCCATGTCCTTGGGCCTAGACTTCTGGCTCTGTGGCAGCTTGCAAATGACTCAAGCCCTAGAGCGGGCACCCTCCCATCAGCCCCGACTCTGGCCCTTTGTTTGGCTGAACGCCAGTGAGGCCCGTGTGGCCCTGAGGTCCGTGTGGCCTGTGTGGGTCTTTACCCCTAGCAGCGCCACATGTTCTGTGTTCCGTTGGTTCTGCCTGCAAGAACTACTTCTGCTGTCCCCAGAGATAGCCCTGCCCACACGGGCTCTTTAACCTATAATTAAAATTAAATGAAATTTAAAAATAATTAAATGAAATTAGAAATGTGATTCCTCAGTCACATGAGCCCCATTCTGAGTGCTCGATCCCACAGGTGGCCTGTAGCTGCTATACTGGGCAGTGCGGACGTGGGACGGTGCACTGTTGTGGAGGGCTCTGTCCCACGACTTCTTTGGACGCCCCTGGCCCAAGGGGCCTGTACTCAAGCTCTGAAGGGACGTCCTTTGGTCTCGCTGGGGCCCAGCCCTGGAGCAGTGACCCCAGGCTGCCCCACTTGGGGCTTCATGCTCTGCTGGGACCCACAAGGGGAGTTGGATTGCTGCTCCAGCTCGCAAAGGCAGTCGAGTAAGTGACCACAGGCCTCCAGGCTGGCAGTGTGCCATCGCCCACACAGGCATCAAGCAGTCTGCCCACCCACAGCCCTCGGCCTGCCTGTGGCTGCGGGAGTGGCTGCCTCGCCACTGCAATCTCCTTGGAACTTCCGTCAGTCTCTAGGCTCCTTTCAGTATTGGAGCATTCCTGGTTGAATCCAGAAACATGGCAAGTGGCAGGAAGGTTCTTAGAATTTCCCTGTATGTGTCACAGCGTACCTGCCCCTTAGTTCAGTTACTCAGAGTCCTACGTCACTGATGGCAGTGAGCTGCAGCCATGTAGTGTGGCCGCACACCCACTTAGGGGACTGTAGCGGCTGCCTGTGGCTGCTGTAATGAATTCACCACAAATTGTGTGGCATGGATTGCCATGCAGGATGCCCTCCCAGCTCGAGGAGTCAGATGCCTGGCACTGCCCCCCCAGGCCAGCATCATGGTGTTGGGGCTGTGTGGATGCCCCTCTGCAGGTTATGGAGGAAACGCCCACTCTGTGCCCCTGCATCCTCAGAGCCCTGGGAGGGGGCATGTGGAGACAGCTGCTAGTACCTGCTGTCGTCAGCTGGGTGCCCGGGCCCCACCGTCTCAGCTCAGCCCAGGCATGCTGCTGGAAACCTTTCCTTGCCCAGCAAGATGTGGGGTTCATGTACCATAGGTGGGTTCATGCCCAGAGCTGTGGACCACTGCACACTCTTCCTTGGGTGTCCCCAGGTGCCTGGCAGCTCTGGGCACTTGTGCTGTGACAATCTGCGGCCTTCTCCTAGGGGGAGCGGGCCGGGAGGTGGGGCCAGCTCTGTCCTGGTGTCAGACCCAGGACTGGTCTTTCAACACTGGGTTTTGCATTAAGTCCTGGAGAGTCTGCAGCCAAGTCAGGTTTTTTGTTTCGATTGTCTTCCTGTGTGTCCTACTGTGGAGTTTGCATCCCATTCATAAGAATTCTGGCTCTCTGAAAGGCGAAATGTCTCCGGTTGGGGCTGTAATTGGCAATTTTCCTGCCTCGTATGAAGAGTAATTCTGTTAGGTCCCTTCAGGGACTCTGCTTTTGCTGTTCTGTCTGTGCTCGCAGAATCAGCCTTCTGCGTTGTCTGCAGTCATTGCTTCCGATTCTAGCACGGGTGACAGTGTGGGCAGGAGAGCTGCGTGCCCCGAGGAGCTAGGGCGACGGCCCATCTCTCCGATGCAGGCCGCTGCGGCCAGTTCTTGCTGTTCTCGCTGCGGCCATGCTCGCTGGAGTCTCTCAGCCGTGCCTTTAGCTGGTGTGGGAGAAGGAGCGGGCTCCTATGTCTCGGCTGCTGACCTGGGTGGTAAATGTCACCCTCAGGGAAAGGGGATTAGAAGACCTTTGGGGAAGGGAACAGAGTCCCAGGGCTGCCCTGCCCCCTGTGTACATTCACGGCTGTGTTGGATGCTCTGTGTGTGGCCCTGCACCTTACAGCTCAGTCTTGCCACCAGCTACTCACCATGTGGCTCCTTCCTTTTCTCCCAGAAATGGCCATATCCGGCACGAAGCACCCCCTGTAAGTATGAAGTTGAATGTGGCATGGAATGTTCTAGAATCTTTAACATTGAATAACCCCACAGCACTCGCATTTGTCTCGTCCTCTGGTCTCTAAACATGTCTTGTGTAGCTTCTTGGAGCCGGGACATTGAAAGCCCCAGGGTCATGTTGGAAGGTATCTATTGGGCATTCCTTGAGCCAGGAGATGGGAGGCCGTTCTGGGCCTCAGCCAGGTCCCAGTGTCTGCCGTGGAAGCTCCCAGGGGTTTGTGCAGCCTCACACTGGTGACATCATCGAAGATAATGCTGACCATGGACCCCAGGCCAGCGCGGCTGGTTTCCTTCCATCGTGCCGTTCCCTCAAGAGCAGGTTCTCAGTGAGGTTGAAAGGTTGTGTGGAGGGCAGGGAGGCCCGAGGCCAGCTGGCAGGAAGGACCTTGAGCCTCTGAGGGCAGGGCATGAGGGAGGCACATGGGTCGGGGTGAGGGGAGAAGGCCCTGGGGCTTGCCGTTAAGGGCATGGAGCTTCAAGCTTTGTCCCCTGGTGCTGAAAGGCAGTGAGCTCCTGCTGTGGCACCTGGCGTCTGTGGGAGGAAGTTCTGGTGCCATGGGTTCCCACTGGGGGAGGGTACAGGAGGGCTGGGGACTGGTCTGCATGGCTGCAGCGCACGGGGGCTTAGGACCACAGTGAGCTTGGAAATGTGGCCTGTCTCTGTCAGCTCAGTGTTGAGAACCTAGAACCACCGAGGGTGAGGTGCTGGAAGGTTCTCTTGTGCTCAGAGCAGCCCGGGGCAGTGGAAGGCCATGTGGCCAGGGCAGGTCACAGACTGGACTCTCACCTATGGAAGGGCAGAAGGCGCTCATGTCAGTACAGGTGTGGGTCAGGTAGGGGGGTCCCCTCTGGGACAGGAGTGGCTTGGGCAGCCTGTGGCACGTGGACAGCAGAGCTTGAGCTGGTGGCCAAGACCGGAGTGACAAACGGGCCGTTTGTGGATTACTAATGGTGCAGTCTGCTGGTTCTCTTTAACAACCTAGGAACTGTGAAAGCTCCGTGTCACTTAACCAAGTGTCCTCTAACTCCCCGTGGTGGCGACTCCTCCCAGGCCCTGCCGGGGACGGGGAGGGCCGCCTGACGCCCGCTGTGCTCCGCAGGCTGTGTGATCACCATCTCTGGCCGCATGACCTTCACCAGCAATAAGTCCATGGAAATCGAGGTCTTGGTGGACGCCGACCCCGTGGTGGACAGCACACAGAAGCGCTACCGGGCCGCCAGTGCCTTCTTCACCTACGTGTCCCTGAGCCAGGAGGGCAAGTCGCTGCCCGTGCCACAGCTCGTGGTGAGTGGGACCTGGGAGCGCCAGCTCCTCCAGCTCACCGTGCCTTTGGGGCACACACAGTCTCGATCCTTGCTACCCTCAGGGTCATTGTCATCGCATGTGTCATTAGAGGGTGGCTGACCACTGTCACCTTGGCCTGCGTGTCCTGCTCAGTGGCCAGCAGCCCAGAGCCCTGGACTGTGGGGCTGTGGTCCAGACTTCAGACTTCCCTGCAGTGTGCAGTGGCACGTGGTGGGTGTGTGCACTTCCAAGAGCCCTTACCCATGCATCCCATGCCCCTCGGATCCATGTCCTCTGAGCTTTGCCTGCATTTACTATTGACGTCTCAGCCCACGCACAGTCCCGGCAGGGTCCTGGACATCCCAGGGAACCCTGTAGAGGCAGCTTCCACACCTAATGTAGGAGCTGAGGTCCCGGCCTGACCTACACCCTCCCTTCATAAACAAGGCTGTGTCTGTCTCTCACGGACAGCTGTGGTGGGAAGCTTGAGGGACGCAGTGGTAAGGATCGGAGGCCTGGGCACTGTGTGTGGCAGCCCCCAGGTTGGGCACTGCTGCAGGAAGTGCTCATGAGTTCCCTGCAGCATGTGGGCTCTGCCTTCTGGGGCAGAGTGCATGCTGAGCCCTGTGACGGCAAAACCTCTCCCCCGGGCACTGGGGGGCCAGTGCCATCTCACTTTCCAAGACGCTGCCTGGCAGCTTGCTAGGGCTGAGAACCACCTTGCCATGGCACCTCTGCCAAGGATCCCACACCCCTGCTCCCTTCACAGTACCCACACCTTGTCAGGGCCTGTTGCAGCAGCTCCAAAGCACCCTGTATGAGTTCTTGGCCTGGCAGGCCACAGTGGTGACCAGTGGCAGCCATAGAGGCCCCAGCTGCCCATAGGATCCCCTTCTGCCAGCACCATCAGTGCTGGCCCTTGACTGGAGTTGGTTTCCCTCTTTGGACTCTGCTGAGCAGACTAGTCCCAGGGCCCTGGGGCTCGGGCAGGGGTGGAGGTGGACTTGAAGGATGAGGACTCAGCCAGTTTGATGGGAGGACAGTGAACCCCTGGGCGTTCTCACGACTGGTTCCTCTGTGCCAGCCCAGGGAGCCCTGTCTGTGTTGCTGTCTCCCTCCCGACCCACACGCTCAGTATTGTGCACGTATGCTGGGCCTGCCTTGGCCGGGCACTGCTTCTCTGCTGACTTTCAGAACATGTGGTCAGGTGATGCAAGGAGGGGAGCACACCCACCACCCCAGCTGTGTCACTGTTTGCTGGTCAGCCATCCACCTCCCTGTAGCCAGGCACTGGCCTCCAGCTGCCAAACCAGCACATCTGCTGTCCTTGGGCTTGGGCCTGCAGAGCAGGCTGCCTGCTTCCTCCTGGGCCCTTTCGGTGTGACCCTCTCGCTTGGCCTCCCCAACCTCTCTGTTCTGGCCGCTGAGTCTCTGCCCCCCCACCCAGTACGTCTTCGCACCTGCTGGGCCTCCTGCACTCCAGCTCCTGTCCTATGGCAGCGGCCGTGGGGCTGGATCCCGGGCATACTGTGTCTCTCACTGGCTTCCTCCTAGCTTTGGTGCCAGCGGCCAGGCCCCTCTCTGAGCCTGTGTTCCTGGCCGTGGGACTCTGCCCCGTCGGTCCAGTCCATAGCCTCCCCGCTCCCACCCTCGGTCCTGCCACACACAAGGCTCTGCCCCGTTTCTGCCCTGCCTGGCGCAGCACCCCTGCTCTCTGTTCTCCCGACAGCCGCACAGTGTTGACGAGGGCGTTACGGGGGCTGCCGGGAGCTGCAGGCCCCAGAGTTTCCTGTTCCCTCCTGGCTCCCTCCTGGCTCTCTCTGACCCCCTCCTGGTCCTTCCTGCTCACTCCTGCCCCCTCCTGGAGGGCCCTCCTGGTCCCCCTCCTGGGCACTCCTGGCACCCTTCTGGCTCCCTCTTGGGCCCACTGGGCTCACACCACCAGGCTGTGGGGTGCTGCAGCCTGCGTTCTCAGGGTCCTGGAGCTTGCCAGTTGGGTGACCTCAGGCACGTCAGCACTGCCTGCAGAACCTGTACATGGGACGGATAGGATCCTGACTGGCTCCATCAGTGCCACTGTGCGCCTTCTCTGCCAGAGCCTCCTGACACCTCCCTGAGGGACGGGCAGACAGATGGGCAAGGACTGAAGTAGGGGCATAGGATGTGCCCAGTACTGGTTGCAATTTGTTCCATTTTGTTTTGTTTGTGAATGGCAAAGGGACACAGGGGGTATGCGTGGGAGGCACATGCCTTGGTTCGCTTTGCCAATGCCTTCAAACAGTTGGACCAGGACCTGTCTAGGTCTCCCATGTGTACAGCAGGGACTCAGCCACCTGAGCCACTACCTGCTCTCCCCAGGAGCCCATTAAGAAGCAGCCAGGATCTGAACAAGGCACTCCACTGTGAAATGCAGGGGTCCTGAGCAGCCCCCAACCTGCTGTACTACAACACCCCCACGGCCATCAGGGAGACCAGCACAGCAGTTGGGAGGAAGACCTGGGTGCTGCACGCCCCCACTCCCAGTGAGGGTCAAGGAGACCTTTAGGGTTGAACCTGTGGCTTCGTGGAGCCAGCAGAAACCTGCACGTGGGTAGAGGTCGTGGTGTAGGGAGGTCAGCACGTGCTGAAGGGGCACAAGGGTTGGCACGGGCTTCTAGGCGCTTGCTTGAGCGCTGGGAGTCACGGCTGCTCCCCCAGGGAGGCAAGGGCCCACATGGATTCACTGTGCTGGGCTCCCAGCTGTCACATGTTGCTGAAGATGCAGCGTCCTGGAGCCCCACCGCTGTTGATAAAAATAGCCACCTCGAGGGAGGGCCAGCAGGCTCGCAGAGGGCTCTGAGCTGAGCACAGCCTCTGCAGCGCTGCCTGGGGACCACTGCCATGCGTGCCCCAGGCTGCAGCACGTGGGCTGTGCGCGGTGTGCATGCGTGCGCACACCGTACCCCTCCTGCTCCCGGCTGCTGCCCCTCCTCACCCCCATCCCCGGCGCTTCTTCAGCCTGCTGTCTATTTTTAGCTCCCCTCCCCAGGGCGGGCTGGCTTTGGAAGTCAGCTTTCCTGTTTGGAGTCACTTCTTGGTGAATGTTTGATGCCGGGGCTGGCAGCAGTGGCAGACTCAGCATGGAGCCAGGCTGCTGGGCTGCTCCCCATGCCAGGTCCCTCCAGCTCCTTGTAGCAGTACCCACTAGTCTTGGGGATTCCGGGGGACCTGTCAGTGAGAACCTGGGTCCTGGGGACCCGGCCCAGCACCGCCTTGTCAGGTGGGGGGCCTTTTCCAGGGGTAAGAGCCAGAGCACGTGCTGGCCTCTCGTGTGTGGGTAGCACCAGCTCTGGTTCTCCTGAGGACATGGTGACACAGGAGGCGACAGGCCACAGAGAACCTGGCAGGGGGCATGGTGGTGGGCAGGCGGAGGGCCCCAGCCTTGTTCTGCCCTGTATGCCTGGGTCACCTGGAAGATAAATGTGCTCCCCAGGGAGCCGAGGCCATGCCGGGGGGCTGTGGAGGTCCTCTCAGCAGAGTGGCTTTCCTCACCGGAAGCGCCTGCCCCTGAGCAGTGATCACAGGGCCCGTGGGGACCAGACAGCCTGCCATCGGCTGCCACTGGTCGAGCGGGAGGCAGCGAGGAAACCATCTCACTGCTGACCAGTGGGTGCCACCTGAAGCACCTGAGGACAAGGGATGCTGATGGGCCTGCTGCCCAGCTGCGAGGCAGGGCCAGGCCTGGGCTGCTGCCGGCCTTAGATCAGGAGACTGCCTGTATGCAGTGCTCAGAGCTGGGGTGTTGTTTTCAATTGCTGTGGGGTCTACAGGTGGGGCAGTGCCCTGGTCACGGCTAGTTCTCATATCTCTGTGTCTTTGCTTGAGCCATGTGGTGCCCGAGTGCTCTCTGCGCTTGATGGTTTAGCCCTTGCATGTCTTCACAGGGGCTTGCAGGGGCACCTGGGTCCACAGAAGCCGGGGGCAGCTGCCCTCCTTCCTGGTCATGGTGGGTTGGGTAGGGAGGGAGGCCTGCCACGTGGGACCCTTGCCATGGGTTGAGAGCCCCAGAAACTCCACAGCCTGTGGAGCTCTCAGACACCAAACCGGCACGTGGTGAGGGGACCCCACCTTGCCTAGAGAGCTGCATGGCTAAGAGGGTGGACGCTGTGGGGGCCTCAGTTGCCCCTTGCTTTAGGACCAGAATCCTCCCTCTGCTACTGCTGCTGCTTGCTTGGTCCAGGTCAAACGTCTGTAATAACTTTGTGCTTGCTGAGAGAGATGGGACGTTCGGCCTTTACTAGAGTACGTCCAGGGCGTTCCTGGAGGGGTCCAGTTATTGCTGATGGAGACTCCTCCCCTGCCCACCCCCTGCAGCCAGCCTGGAGCGTTACGTCATAGATGCCTCCCAGGTGCCTGTCCGTAAGCCCAGTCAGGGTCAGGCTGCAGGAAGGCACGGAGAGCTTGCCCACCCACCTGGCACAAGAAAGACCCAGCCCAGCCTGACACTGCCAGCAGCCTCCTGTTGGCCCTCACGCAGCCCCTTCATTGGGGGCTGGGCTGTTTGCCTCTCCATAATGGCCTCCTTTCCTTGCTCCCGGCTGGAGGCTGCTCCCAGGACATTGGAGAGGGCAGCAGAGGGCGGGGGACGCAGGCTTGGGCGGTTCATGGGCCCCAGTGCCAAGTAAGTGCAGCATGGCACAGGTTCCCCTCCACGCTGAGGGCCCTCCAGTGCCACGCCGTGTCCCCAGTGAGCAGCGATGTGAGCCCTCCCCTCCCCCACTGCACGCTGCATGGCGCAGGCCTGTGTCCCCGCTGGGGGCACTCAGCACACAGATACCCACTAGTCACAAAAGGACAAGCTATTGATTTTACTAAGGGTGGGACTTAGTCTCTCCTCCACACCACGTTCCAAGTGTGTTTTCTTGAAGTGCTGAAAATGCAGAATAGAAGACATTTGGTTTGCAGCATTGGGCTCCGACCAGAAGCCGGCACTTGGCAGGAAGTGCCTTGAGGGCGAGGGAAGGATGCACGTCTGAGGCCAGCATTGGAACTCTCCTGTCATCCCTGTGTCCCTGCGGGTAGGCATGCCACCCCAAAGACCCCGCAGCCTTGACACAGCCCCCAGGCCATCTGTGGTTGATCGGGGTGGTGCCACGGTGGGCAGCTAACTGCCAAGGCAGGCCCTTGGGGCGGGCACCTAGAGCTTTGAGGTGGTGTGTGAGGCCCACAGGATGACCCCCCAGACACGCACACATGTGTGCCAAGAATGATCGCACACGCCATGGATGAGTTCACACATGTGACCCTACAGAGCAGACATGCACGCACACACACCATACACATGAGCTCACGAGCACCAGCCAGTGTAGGGGAGCCCTTGGCCATGTTACCACACTGGATCCCTGTCGCACAGGGGACAGTGCTCCTGAACCCGGGGTCGTGCCCCTTACCACCACCACCCTTCAGTGTCTCCCAGCAGAAGGTTGCCAGGCTCCAGCAGCCTCCTTCACCATCAGCCACTGCATGGGGAGCCCCCAGAGGCTGGGCATGGCTGCTGGCAGTGCAGCCCGGCCATAAGTCCTTCTCCACGCCACCCTCCCCCAGCCCTCCTTCAGGATCAGCCTCAAGCAACACTGCCGTATTTGTTTACTTTGCTACAGCAGGGAGACGCCTGGGAGGAGGTGGCAGCTGGGCCCGGGTGGGGCCATGTGCCAGCAGCCATCTGGCTCGTTCTGGCAGCTCCACAAGCACCAAGGATGTAGTGTCTCCCCACCCCCGTTTACTCAGAAGAGAGGCCCAGACAGGCTGTGGCACCACTTCAGTGTGGAGCAGCCACGGCCCTGCCATCCTTGGCCATTTTCCTTAGGAACATGTGCCCTGCCTGAGCACTGCTCAGGGAGCTGGGACAGCACTGCCCCCAGGGTGGGCCCTGGGCACGGTGATTCTGGGGCTGAGGTGGCAGAGCACGGCTCCCAGGCTCAGAGCGCGGAGCACCGTCAACCAGCTCCCTCCTCCCTCCTCTTGCATCATCTGGTCAGTTCCCAGCTGCCCTTCTGCACCTCTGTGGCCAGCAGCGTTGGGTCCTGGCTGTGAGGCCACTGGGCTTGTTCTGCCTGGCAGTCCAGAGGCCTGCACTGGGTGACAGCCTCTCCCTCGTCGAGCCGGCGGTATAAATTTATGCTCCTCAGCCTGTGCCTCAAGTCGCTCACGGCCCAGCCTGATGAGAGAAGTGTCCAGAGCTGTTGACCCACGTGCCTGGAGCACTTAAGGCTGCTGAGGCTGTTTGGATGATGCAGTGCAGGCCAGAGCCCTGGCAGCCAGGGGACAGCCGAGGAGGCTCTGGAGGCCTCATGGTCACTGAGGCTGTTTGGATGATGCAGTGCAGGCCAGAGCCCTGGCAGCCAGGGGACAGCCAAGGAGGCTCTGGAGGCCTCATGGTCACTGAGGCTGTTTGGATGATGCTGGATGCTCGTGTCTTCCTTCTGCCCTTTGACCCTTCTCCCCTCACATCACTCCCCACCTCTGTCACTCAGGATTCCTTCTGTGGGAGATGGAGAGGGGTGATGGCCATGGTGTGCTGTGTGACCCCAACGGACACCATGTGCTGTCAACCCAAATGTGACCCCGATGGACACCTACAACCTCAGCCCAAGTGTGACCCCGACAGACACCATGTGCCATTAACAACCTGGGTGTGACCCCAACAGGCACCACACAATGTCAACCCAAATGTGACCCCGACGGGCACTGTGTACCATCAGCCCGTATGACCCCGACGGGCACTGTGTACCATCAGCCCGTATGACCCGGACGGGCACTGTGTGCCATCAGCCCGTATGACCCCGACGGGCACTGTGTGCCATCAGCCCGTATGACCCCGGTGGGCACTGTGTGCTGTCCCAGAGTGACCCCGACAGAGTACCTTGCTCCGCCAACCCCGGTGTGACCCTGCACACCCCTGATGATGCCTCTCGGCTGTGAAATGATTTGTACCAGCGAAGGGGAGGGTGGGTCTTTTTTCGCTCTGGAGAAACAGTGACCAAAGTAGAGAGGTGGAGTTGTGTGACTCCCAGCACGCAGACGTCTTGTCCCCGCACAGTCTGCCCACCGCACTTAGCAGACCCAGCAGCAGGCACCCAAGTTACTGCAACGCTCTCTTACAGCGCAGTGATGCAGCTGCAGGAAAAGCAGCTGTGGGATTCAGTCCGCAGCTTCGGCGTGCGTGTGCCGCGATGGGGATTGTCCTGTGCATCATTAGTTTCCCAGGGAAAGGTCCCTGGCTTCCAGCTCGGGGAACTTGGGGGGATACTTCCTGCACCTGCCCAGCTGGGTGACTGGAAGCAAGGGCAAGTCGGGTGTCGGTCGAGGAAGCATTTCCTTGTGTAGGATGAGAACCACCTCCCTGTCCTCCCTCTCGTGCACGGGGAGAGCTCTGCCCGGCAGTTCACCCACTTGCTCAATTCAGAGGGTTTGTGGAATCGTGCAGCTGTTGCTACAATTTCAAAACATTTTTATCATCCCAAAAGAAATACTGCACTCCTTAGCTGTCACGGACCCATCTCCTGCCCTGCTCCTCAGCTATCGGATGGTGCCTGTCCCCATGGATTTTCCTACTGGAAACTCAATGGGCTTGACCAGCTGGTGCCCGTGGACTGATGCTGATATCTGTTTTGAGTGATGACAGGTGAGTGGTGGGAGGCATTTGGGCCTCATGACCACCATGTCAGCAAATGAACAATTAGGGCAGCTGTGTGGGGTCCAGGCCTCATCACCAGGGAAGCCAGCATTCGAGCAGGCCACAAGGCAGCTGGCCCATTCCGGAGGGGCCTGCAGTGGAGCCAGTGCTGAGGTGCTCAAGCCTGTGCCCTGGTCAGGCAGCACATCTGTCCACCATCTGCCCAGGGACAAGCTGGTGCAGGAGTGCTTGCGCACCTGGCCAAACCAAGATGGTGGCCAGCACCCAGGGAAAGGAGTTCCTGGCCATGTCAGGGTGGGGAGGCTCGCACTAACTACATGGAGCTGACGGGCTTGACCCTGAGACCGGAGAGCCCTGGTCTTGGAATTGGGGGAGAGAGGCCAGGGAGGCTGTGACCGCTGGGCAAGCACTCCAGCAGCCTCGGGTCACCAGAGAGCTCACCAGGACAGCACACCCTGCTGGGTGCACGGACCCGCAGCCCCTGGGAGCTCAGGGTGCTGTCCCATAGAGCTGGTGAGACTGTGCATGCGCACACACACACGCGCGCACACACGGGCTGTTTCGATCCAACTGTGTAGCCTCAAAGTTAATTTTTTTAGAAAGAACAGAAGAGACTGCTGTGCTAGAAGAGCCACGTTTCCTGTGCACGCACACGGGAGACTGCGACAGCCCGGAGCTGGCCACGGGAGCACGGCCGTGTGTTGAGATTCCTAAGGGGCTGCCGGGCCAGCTCCAGCTCCAGCCGGGCCGTGACTGTTTCCACCTGGTGACTCGTGGCGCCGAATCGCCAGGGCTGAGGGGAGGGCGTTCTTGGTGTGACCTGGCGGTCATCCTCTGGCTGACTCTCCCGGCTTTGGCCAGCACCCCATTTGTCTGGAAAACATTCAGACCTCAAAATAGCTGCTGGGCTTGGCGTCCTTGTGGGCGAAGGACGACACCCTCCAACGCCACAGTGACATGTCCTCAAGGAGTTAACACAACACGTTAAACGCGACTCCCCACCAGGGCAGGTGCCAGCCAGAACTTAGGACAGATGGGGCCCCAAAAGGGACCACCTATGGTGTCCCTGTGGCTAGCAGGCGGAACCTCGACCATCTGAAGGAGGCGCAGCAGTAAGGGGTGGGCCAGGACACAGCTTCTGAGCCCTTGGCACCCTCCCTAAAGTGGCACGGGACTCCCCACGTGCGCCCCCGTGGGACAGTGACCATCTCCTGGGGCTGCTGGCATTCACCGGCCTCTATCCGTACAGGGCTTTTTCCCAGCACTCCCCTCCACAGTCCACTGTCAGGTGGAGTCAGAAGGGGGCACAGGACCACTGCCTGGCACCCAGCACTCTAAAGACCACTGGAGCCGTGTCGAGTTTGTCAGCCCCCCGTCCCGGGGTCAGGGGAGGGCAGCCATGCAACCTGCTTGTGTCTCACTGGCTGTTTCTCTGTGTGTGCCCCACAGCCTGAGACCGAGGACGAGAAGAGGCGCTTCGAGGAAGGCAAAGGGCGGTACCTGCAGGTGAAGGCCAAGCGTCAGGGTCAAGCGGAGCCACAGGCCTAGGCCCCTCCCAGCCCAGGCCATGAACCACTGTCATCACGGCCCGGCCTCCACTCAGAAGCAACCCCCTTGGCCAGACCCCAACTCGCGTTGAGAGCTGGTGTTGTGTGTATTCGTCTTGCAGTGTTAACCCACCCTCTCCTGAAATCCTACACACCAAAGCTTTATTTATGCCATCCCGGTGCGAGTGCAATCAGTGTTGCCCCAGACCCCGGGACCTGGGTAGTGCCCCCGCCCGCACGAGGTGGGACGGGCCTGGCGTACAAATAAAGCTGCTGTCTGGCTGCACTCAAAGGCCTGGCTGACTGTCTTGGGGACTGCTCTCCCACTGGCTCGGTGACCCTCCCCTGAGCCCCCTCCTGGCACGGGGACCTCCGCGTGCCCTGGGTCCACACCTGCTGGGAACGTGATCACTGGACACCTGATTCCTGAGGCCCTCAAAAAGTGTTGGCTGGGCCACCCAGCCTGGCAGGAGCCCTGGCACCCACTTCCCCAAGCTCAGAGCTGAGCAGGGCTCCTCCTGGTGCTGAAGGACGCAGGGAGGTGAGGCATGTAGACAGCCCTGTTGGCGTGGCCCAGTCCCAGCTGCTGCTTGCCAGAAACCAGCCAACACCCAGGGCTTTGCTGAGAGGGGCCTCCTGGGGGGTGCCAGGACCCTCAGGCAGGGTGGCTGTGGAGTCGCCAGGCAGCGTGGGAGGGTGCATCTGTGTGTGTGTGTGGTACATCTGTGGGGGGTTGTGCATCTGTATGTGAGGTACATCTGCGTGGGGGGTACATCTGTGTGTGGGGGGTGCATCTATTGGGTGCATCTGTTGGGGGGTACGTGTGTGGGAGGGTCCATCTGTGTGTGTGCATCTGTGTGGGGTTGTGCACCTGGGGGGGTACATCTGTGTGTGGGGTGAATCTGTTGGGGGGTACGTGTGTGGGAGGGTCCATCTGTGTGTGTGTGCATCTGTTGCTGACTATCTGCATGCTGTGAGGTTGTGTCACTGCACATGGGCACACATGGTGTGATATGAGGGCTCCAGCCTTGGGGGTGCCCCTGGGCCAGCAGACTCGGGCAGCCGCTCAGGGGCCAGGACCCCAGTCCTACCCGAGGCTGCTAAAGGCACTCCACCAAGCTCTTCCCTGAGCTGGGGCCTCAGAGAACATCCCCAAATCAGGCTCATCCCTGAAGCCAAAGCATCTGTCCTGCCTGGAGAGGGAGCCTGACCCGCCAACAGCTGCAGCTTCGGGGCCCCTGGAGCGCGAGCAAGCGAGTGAGCAGGCTCCAGATGTGTGGAAACGCCCTGCCAAGTGCTCCGGAATCTGCCAGGCCCCAGCCCCCAAGGACAACAGGGCAGCAGCAGCTACTTCCTGCCTGGAAGCAAGGATGGGGGAATAAGCTGCTCCGCCTACCACCCTGACCCCTGACCCCTGAACTCTCCAACCCCGCCCATGACCCATGCCAGTGGGTTCAGAGCTGAAGTCAAGGCCTGCAGGGCTGGTCATCCATTGCCCACAGTGCCCGGGCATCAGGCCCCAGGCCAGAACTGCCTTGCCCAGTCTACAGTACCTAGGAGCCAGCCAGGCACCTTAAAAATCCACCACACCAGTACAGAAACACTTAGCCTCAGGCCCTGACAGCACTGCAGGGCACTCCCCTCTTCCCCCTGCCCAGGACGGCCGGCCATCCACCAGTTCCCGCAGGGCCAGCAGAGGCCAGGCAGAGCCCCTGGCTGTGGGCCACGCAGCAGCTGGTGAGCCAGGCCCCTGGGAAGCTACCCTTCAGTCAGCCGACTCAGGGTCAGCAGGCGTGCCTTAGCCACACCATTCTGTGAGCCACTGTGCCAGCCCCTGCTGTGGGCAGCCTGTCCACAACCTAGGCCAGCTGGGTGGGGACCAGCCTGTTCACCTCAAAGCCCCAGGGACACATTGGGGATGTGTGACCAGCTGCCCAGCCCTGCAAGAGATGGGGCCCCCTGGCAAGCACAGGATGGACACTCGGGGCTGCTTGCCTGAACACTCCCTTGGGAGGTCCTGAGGGTGTGGTCAGCGCCCCCCAGGAGGAACCAGGGTCTCCCTTGAAGAGGAAGGCCTGGGTGCCAGCTCCTCTCTCAGGACAGGAGGGGGTCCTCCAAAGGACCGTCAGAGTGTAGGTGACAGCCTGTGCCCTGGCAGTGCCAATGGAGGCCCACAGCACGGGTTTCAGAGCCACAGAGCCATGGGTAGAGGGCAGCCCCCTGCAGGCCCTGTGCATTCCTGGGTCACTCCCACCTCTCCCACTCCTGGGGTCAGACCAAGACCCGAGATCAGCTTGAATCCTCCGTTGGCCTCTCTTGCTGCTCCAAGCCCAGTCTCTCACCTGAGCTGTGGCTTCCTCCAGGAAGGCCTCCCTGAGCCCCCGCTCCAGCCCCTCCAGGTCCTCACTACCTATTCCTGGCCTAGGTCTCCCAGTCCCTGGAAGGCTGCAGCCCAGCTGCGGGGTGAGAGGGCAGATCGCGGGGTGGCCCGACGGGGCTGCGGGCCGCGCCTGCGAGCGGGCGGGCTGGCGGGGCGGGCCGAGGGGCGGTGCGGTGGCGCCCGGCGGAGGCATGCGCCCTGGCCCGCCCCCCGCCCCCGGCCGCCCGGCGCAGCCAGCAGAGCGGCGGGAGCCAGTGCGGCCGCGGCGCCGAGGGACGGGAGGGACGGGAGGGAGGGCGGGGCGGCGGGGCCGAGCCGGGCCGGGCCGAGCGCGCCGGACGCCGCCAGGATGCCTCGGCCCGCGGGCCACTCCGCCGCCAGCCTCCCCCGCGGCCCCCGGCGGCCCGCGCTCGGCCCGGGGGCTCGGGAGCTGCAGCCGGAGCCGGAGGCGGGAGCAGCGAGGTGGAGTCGCTGGCGCCCGAACGCAGGGTGAGCTCCACCGTGCTGGCCCCGGGATGGCCGGGCGGGAGGGCTGGGGACCGGGGCCGCCTGCGCTCCGGTGGTGGCAAGCGCCGTCTGAGGGGTACACCGCCCGGAGCTCCTGCGCCACCCCGCCGACCCAACTTGGGCACCTTCGGGGTAACTTCCCCAGAGCCGGCCCCTCCCTGTTTCTTCGCCTGCAGTGATGCCCCTGGGGGTCCGTAGCTGGTGGAGAGGGCGGGTCCGAGGGGGTGGGTCGGCCCCTGTCCGTCACCACCGTCAGGCTCCCCCCGCAGGTGGTCGCTGGGACGCGCCCTCAGTGTGGGGCGGTAGTCGGGGGTCCGGTGGGGCAGGCAGGCGGGACAGCGCCAGAGAAGGGCTGGGAGAAGGATCTGAGCCCAGGGCAGCAGGGACTGCTGGGGTGCGGGGCGGGGGAGGGAGGCGTGTCGCAGATGCGGAGGCACCCCGCCCTGGGCCCTGCGAGATCTGCGCAGAGACCAAGTCGGGGGGACGAGAGCACGGGGCGCTGGCCAGCTGGAGCCCGGGGACTCCTTTCAAGTTCTGGGTTCTCTTTGTTGTGCAATAGAGCCCCGGGGCCGTGCGGTCTCATTGGCCCGGGGCCTTGACGTCACGCGTGGCTCTCCCGCCAACCACGCAGAGTCCTCTTCCAGGGGCGGGTGGGCCCCGGGATGGTCCCTCTTCCAGGAGCGGGTGGGTCCCTGGATGGTTGCACCAGCACTGGGCCGCTCTGAGAGCAGTGCGCACCAGCAGGGCGCGGGGCAGGACTGACCCCAAGTGGACGTGTGAGCCCATGCCCTAGGCAGGGGTGCCTCACCCCTGAAGACACTTCTCACCCCAACACTCCTTCTGGACCCCTAGAACGCAGCTCCCAGGAAGACAGCCCTAGCCAGCCCTGCTTTTTGTGCCTCTCTGAGCTTGCAGGCTGCATTCTCATCTGCCCAGGTCCAGATAAGAGCCAGACCTTAGATCCATGCACTCAAAAAAAATGCCTTCTTCCAGAACGTTCCAGGGCTGTGGGTCAGGCGGGTGGAAGTCAGTACTGGCTCAGGCCTGCGTGGCTTGGTTCTTCTCTCCGCCTCTTCTGGATACTCTCATGGCTGCACCCTTTACCCACAGCTCTCCCTACAGCCATGCACTGTTAGGGTTGGGCAAAGGGCAGAGCTTTGCCATTCTGTGCCAGCATTGAGCGTGTGCACCGGGGGGGGCTGAGCCAAGGCCACAGGGATCCCCTAGGCAGGGCTGGGGAGTTGAGGGAGAAGCAGGTACAGGCTGAGTTCAGTTTTTTGTGCCTGGAGGTGGTGCTGCAGCCCCCGTCCCCCAGGGCCTGGCCAAGGGGGCCGAGGTCAGGCTCACCCACACCTCCCAGCCCTCCATTGCCTTGGCTCTTGAGATGACAGGCTGGGGCTGTATGCAGCCTCTCATAGCCCCGTGTGGATGTCAAGCACTTACTGAGTGCCTGCTGCATGCTCAGCTCCCGTCTGAGTGCTTGCCAACAGCACATGCTTTCCAGGAAGTGCTGCACTGCCTGGTTACAGCTCAAAGGAGACACGGAGAAGTGAGGGCAGCAGCCCGAGCCAAGGGCATGTGTGCTATCTGCAGGGAGGCTGGAAGGGTTGGGATGGGGGGCTGGACGTCCATGGGAGTGGCCAGCGAAGACTCCACCAGGGCCACCTGTCTCCCGTGTGGAGTGGCAAGTCGGGAGAAGCAGCCCCACAGAAGCAGGAACCTAATAAATGTTCTGAAAGGAAGTTGTGTGGTCAGGCAGTCCCCAAGCTGGTGTCACAGACTGGGTCAGGGGCCAGGAGGGGTGTGGACAGGGGCACTTCCTTGAGGCCCGCTGGACGTTCAGGGTAGCCAAGCCATGGACAGAGCAAAGGACTCCTACAGGCAGGGGTGCTGCCAGCTGGCTGGGCAGCAGCCTCTCCTCTCCAGGGGATACTGTGGCAGGAGGTGCCCATGGGGCTGGCAGGTAGGCGAGAAGGACTGCGTGCAGGCAGAGCACTTGGGCCTAAGACCAGCCCAGTGACCCACCAGGGCACCGGGGAATGGGGGAGGGAGGAACTTGCTAGCAGGCCCTATGGCTGCGTGCCCACACATGCCTCCTGCCAGCAGGCCTAGTCCTGGCCTGCACCCACCCCCACCTGCCCGAAGGGGAGGCTCTGGGGAGGCTCTGAGCAGCCCCCAGATAGCTGGTGCCTGAGCCATCCGGGGAATACTGCTGACTGCTCTGTCCACTGTGCGAGTCCCAGGCCCAGCTTTCACAGTCAGAGGCCGCTGGCCAGAGCGTGCTGGTGGCCAACATGGGGTCTGTGGGCGCCTTACAAGGGAGGTCAGCTGGGAAAGGATGAGACCAGAAGAGGCAGACTACCCCAGCCCGGGTGGGCATGACCCCTGGATCAGGTCACGTGGGAGTCAAGAAAGGTGGCTAGCCCACAGGAGGTGCAATGAATTAAGGCAGGGGTCTCTCCCCCAGTGGCCACGCTGCCCACTCACTGCCCCTCCTCACACCCCCAGCCATGCATGGTCGCCAACACCCATGAGCCTCTGTGGATGAACCCATGGCCTGACTCCAAGACGATGCCCCGGCCACGCACCGGCTCTCGGGTGCACCATGAGTGACGAGCGGCGACTACCCGGCAGTGCAGTGGGCTGGCTGGCGTGTGGCGGCCTCTCCCTGCTGGCCAATGCCTGGGGCATCCTGAGCGTGGGTGCCAAGCAGCAGAAGTGGAAGCCGTTGGAATTCCTGCTGTGCACACTGGCGGCCACGCACATGCTCAACGTGGCGGTGCCCATTGCCACCTACGCTGTGGTGCAGCTGCGTCGACAGCGCCCGGACTACGAGTGGAATGAGGGCCTCTGCAAGGTCTTCGTGTCCACCTTCTACACCCTCACCCTGGCCACCTGCTTCTCCGTCACCTCGCTCTCCTACCACCGCATGTGGATGGTCCGCTGGCCCGTCAACTACCGGTGAGCGCTCACAGGTTCGGGGTGCTCCACGTGAGTGCCACACCTGGGGGTAGGGGACTGGCTTGAGGCTGCCGGCGTGCATAGGATCACTGCCATGCTGGTGGTCGGGTTATGTAGCCAGGACCCTCTGTGAGTGATACTGTCCCTCTGTCCCCTCCGCCCCCTGTGCCAGGCTGAGCAACGCCAAGAAGCAGGCGGTACACACGGTCATGGGTATCTGGATGGTGTCCTTCATCCTGTCAGCCCTGCCCGCCGTGGGCTGGCATGACACGAGCGAGCGCTTCTACACCCACGGCTGCCGCTTCATCGTGGCCGAGATCGGCCTGGGCTTCGGCGTCTGCTTCCTGCTGCTGGTGGGCGGCAGCGTGGCCATGGGTGTGGTCTGCACTGCCATCGCCCTCTTCCAGACGCTGGCCAGGCAGGTGGGGCGCCAGGCCGACCGCCGCGCCTTCACAGTGCCCGCCATCGTGGTGGAGGATGCCCAGGGCAAGCGCCGTGCGTCCGTCGACGGCTCTGAGCCTGCCAGGACCTCGCTGCAGATCACCGGCCTTGTGGCCACCATTGTCGTCATGTATGACTGCCTCATGGGCTTTCCTGTGCTGGTGGGTGACAGGGTCAGGGTGGGAAGCCTGGCTCTGGGACAGAGCTGGACACACTGCAGGGTGCTTTAAGTGACTGAATCCTCAAGGTCACTCTTGATCCTAGGACGAGGAAGGGTGCACATAGGGGCTAACCTAGAGGAGGCCTTGGCAACAGGTCCGAAGGCCAACAGTGCTGCCTGCGACCTCTGGCACTCTGGAGCCAAGCCCTCCTGCCGCGGGCTCCAGCCCAGGCCCCTGCGAGGGGTCTGCAATGAGACACCTAGGGAGCTTGGGGCCAGGGCATGAGCTGAGCTGCAGGACAGGACCGCATGCCCTGAGCGACTTGCAAAGGCAATCAGACGCAGCTCCTTCTGTCCCTTCCCCCAGCAGCCTCCACCCCACCCGCCCTCCCCGCTGAAGGGTCCTTTTGTGTACAGAGGGGCTGGGTGCCCCTGGCTCCTGTGCCAAAGGAACCAGTCAGGTGACACTGCTCCAAGAACCACACAGTGCTGTGGGCACAGAGTGGAGCCCTTCAGAGGGTAGGGTACACCCCAGCTTCTTCCTTGGCAGGGCAGGAGGGCCCTTCACCACACGCACTGACTGTTTCTTTTCTTACTATATGTTCATTTAGTAGTTCGTTTCATTCAAAAAACAGAGACAGAAGTAGGAAGATCTGTTCACTGGCTCACTGCCCACATGCCCGCAACAGCAGGCTAGGCAGGTCCAAAACCAAGAGCCCGCGGATTCAACGTGGGGTCTTCCGTGCGGGTGGCAGGGACCCAGTCCCTTGAGCTGTCACCTGCTGCCTCCCAGGGTGTGGGCAAGCAGGAGGCTGAGACAGGAAGCCAGGCATCCCAAGGGGCATTGCCACCGCTGAGCCCCCATGCCCACCCCTGCCTGGACCCTGTGTTTCTGAGTGAGCCCCACTTCACCATCCCAGGTAGAGGGCACATCATGGATGTCAGAGGGCCCAGTTCTAGAACCTTCGCCACTTCCCAAGGGTCACACAGTCTGCCGTGGTCACAGCAGAGGTCAGCGGTTGACACGCTCCCCTGCCAGCAGCCCAGCCGCCCAGCTGGGGCTCCTTAAGTGTCACTGTGCAGGTGCATCCAGGGGTCCCTGTGCAGAGGCCCAAAGGCAGTCCAGTAGTACCCTCTGCCTCTGGAATTTGTTGCAGTGTCTTAGATCCCTGCAGGAGGGGCAGTATGAAGAGGTGACTGGCCAGGATAGGGACTGCGGGTGGCTTGCTGGGGTCCTGAGCAGATGGCAGACCATCTCCAAACTGGTCTCCCACCTCCCCTCTTAAAGCAGATACGATCTGTGCCCCCACCTCTTCCCAGGGACCAGTGTCAGTAGGGTGCCTTGGTGGCAGGGGTGCTGGGCACCGCTGGAGCTGTGGCTCCAACCTCGTGGTCTCCCGGTTCCAGCCCGTCTCCACCCCAGACCTGGAGCTCTACCTGTCACCGCCCGCCAAGTCTGGGAGGGAGAAGCAGGGGGCATGGGACTTGCTGGGTGCCAGGCTGCACCCTGTGCCCGCAGGTGGTGAGTTTTAGCAGCCTGCGGGCCGATGCGGCAGCCCCCTGGATGGTGCTGTGTGTGCTGTGGTGCTCCGTGGCCCAGGCCCTGCTGCTGCCCGTCTTCCTGTGGGCCTGCGACCGCTACCGGGCTGACCTCAAGGCCATCTGGGAGAAGTGCGTGGCCCTCATGGCCAACAACGAGGACGCCGAGGAGGGTGAGGAAGACCCTGGAGACTTCCCCTGCGGTGTCCCCAAACGTACTTGGACCCCTGGGAGGGACCAAGCCAGGTGTTGCACAGAGCCCTGCAGAGGGGGTGAGCTGTGGGCTCCCCCAAATCTCCCGGCTCACGCCCAACTTGGGGGACCTTGGGAGCTCCATAGCAGCACTCCCCTAGGGCTGGGCCCCACAGCTGCCCAGGTGCCACGGGAGGAGGCCGGCTCCATGCACTGGGAGGAGAGGGCCGGCTTGATGCCAGGACCCGCCCGTTTCTGTTTCCCAGTAACCAGCTCTTTCTACCTTTGTGGGGGTGGTGCTGGGGTTGGGAGTGTCCAGGGTCACTCCCAGGTGCCCTGAGTCCCTGCCACCCTTTGCAGAGACCAGTCTGGAGGGGGGCATCGCCCCAGAACTGGTGTTGGAGCGCTCTGCGGACTACGGCTATGGCAGCGACCTGGTGGCCTTGGACAGGATGGCCAAGTATGAGCTCTCTGCTGCAGAAGGAGGCCTACCCCAGCTCTACCCGCTGCGCCCGCTGCAGGAGAGCAGGATGCAGTACCTGCAGGTGGGGGCCGCCCCACATGGGGGTGTGGGGAGGCAGCGGCCTGAGCCCCAAGGACAACTTGAGGTTCAAGCCCATCTGATTCTTCCAGGTCCCTGCCACAAGGCGCTCCTCCCACGACGACGCGGACGTGTGGGCCGCAATCCCGCTGCCCCCCACCTTCTTGCCACGCTGGGGCTCAGGCGAGGACCTGGCCACGCTGGCACAGCTGGTGCTGCCGCCAGGGCCTGAGCGGTGCCACGGCAGCCTGCTGGCCCTGGCCGAGGACGCGCCGCCGTTCCGTCCCCGCCGCCGCTCGGCGGAGAGCCTGCTCCCACTGCGCCCCTTGGACAGCACCCACGACTCTCCGCCCGGCAGCCCCGGCCGCCGCCACCGCCGCCTCCCCGGGCCCAGGCCCAGTGCCCGCTCGGCCTCGGCCTCGCCGCTGCCAGGCGCCTTCGCCCTGACTGCCTTTGAGCGAGAGCCGCAGGCGCTGCGCCGGCCGCCCGGCCCACCCGCCACCTTCCCCGCCGCCATGGACGGCAGAGCGCCGACGTCCCCTGGCAGTGGCCAGCGGAGCCCCGGCCCGCGCCGGGACACACTCGCGCACGCCGGGCCCCTGCGGACCAGCCTGAGCGCGTCGTGGGGCGAGCCGGGGGGCTTGCACGTGGCGGGCGGCGGTGGCAGCACCAGCAGCTTCCTGAGCTCGCCCTCGGAGTCCTCCGGCTATGTCACGCTGCACTCGGGCTCCCTGGGCTCGGCGTCCTAGGGCCCGCGCCAGTGCCTCCCCAGGACACCAGCACCAAAGATTGCCGCCTCTGTCGCCCCGACTGCGAGCGTAAGACCCGCAGAGGGGCAGGGGCGTGGCCCTGCGCCTGTATCTGCTGGCTCCTCCCTGCTGGCCTTGCCTGGAGCTGAGCACTGCTCAGCCAGCAGCGGAGCTGGACTCGGGAAGCAGGGAACCCTGGAAGGAGGCCAACACCACAAAGCAGCCCCTCCGCCCCTTGGAGGGGTAGAAGGCAACAGCTCCTGGACCCTGCACAACTCTGCCTTCTGCCCTGTGCTGGAACGGTGGCATGCCCCGGGGAGGGGGCGCTGGGTCTCTAAGCACAGGCAGGGAGCTTCAGAATCCAAACAAGCTCTGGGCACACATGTCCCTGGCTGCCTCAGTTTCCCCATCTGTAACAAGCAGGTGGCCACATTAACTCTCAGGGCTGTTTGACGACGTTTCCTGGGCCCTGGCCACTGGGTGCACCTGGTCAGTCACTTATGGCGGCCAGTCCCTGGTGTGGGGTCTCCCCGCACCCTCAGCACAACTCAGCCCCTTGGAAAGCCATCCTGCTCTCCAGTCAAGCACAACTCCTGCACCACCACCCCTGATGACCCCACCACCTGACCACCACTTGTTTGCCTGCCCTCGGTACTCTGCCAAAGTTGCCTGCCCCCCAACACATCAGCCACCCTGATTCCTTGCCAAGGTTGAGTGTGCACGCCAGAGGGGGAGGGAATCTGCAGGCCCTGGCTGCAGCCCTACGCACCTGTGCACCCAGCTGTGCAGGTCCTTCCCTCCCACGCTCCTCCTGACTCCAGAGGTCAGACCCCCTGCTGGTCTTTGCCCAGGCAAGGTCTGGGCACAGCTGAAAGGGCAATAAAGACAGAGTTAGCCTCAGGACAGGGTCCCAGCCCCAGAAACAGGCAGGGGGAGTGGGGGCTGTTCCACTCCGTCTCAGCTTTGGCTGTGCCTCCTCCCTGGCCATGGGGCCAGAGGTACCGCCTCCGGCTGACGTAGCTATGCCTTTGAGCACTGACACGTCCAGTGGAGGCAGCGGTCACCAGCCAGCCACTGTCTCCAGCCCAAGCTGGCCTGTTTTATCACATGGGTTTTCACGTTCTTTTATAAAAATGGCAATAGGCGCAATGGGGACCATGATCCCAAACCCAGCGCGGTTTTTTAACAGGAAATAGAAGTGGGGGTGGGGTGGCCCCACCCAAGGACTCTGAGCCTGGTGCCCTCTCTCCCGCTCTGTCCAGCCTTGGGCCTGTTGGCTGGGTTTCTAAGGAGCGTCACCGTGGGCTACCTGGGAAGGGACTGTTCTTAACTGCCCAGCCCAGAGCCAGGGACTCATTTGTACTCTCCGACAAGGCATTTCTTGTCTGTACAGGACTCAATAAAAAATTTGCTCATGATTTGCACCCAGCGCTCTGCACCTGCCTTCTTGGAAGCAGTAACCCCAGGGTTTCGCTGGCTACAGCCTGCATTTTTGCTATCCCACCACCTTGCCCCGTGTCCTCGCAGGTGAGAGGGATGTGGGGCTGCGGAAAGGGACAGCAATCGGAGAAAGTCCCTTATGGTGCAAGTGGTAACGCTTGCCCAGGGGTCCGTGTCAGGGCTGCCAGCCACTGTGACAGTCGGAGGAAGCCCTGCCTGGGGCGCCCCGTCTCCGGCCCAGGCGTTGGGGTGCCTTGGGGTCCGCAGTGAGCGGCCGCCACCTGGTGGCCAGCAGACTGCTCCCGGGCTCGGCGCGCGGGTGGATAAGAAGCACCCTTCCGGGAGGCGGAGCAGGAGGCGTCCGGCTGCCCAGGCGCAGTGACCAACCAGGGCGGCCCCCTACGCCGGCGGCCGCCAGGAGAAGGAAGGCTCTTCAAAGGTGGTGTTTGCAGTTCAGGAGGCTGCACCCGAGTGGACCTCGAGGGGAAAAGCCGCCCTCATTGGTTTTATTCCCATTCACACGCCGGTGAGGACGAGGTGCCCCTCGCGGGTCGAAGGAGGAAAGCGGTTGACTCTCCCGGGTCTCTTCCCACCGCTCAAGTCCGAGCGCAGCCACGACCTCACGGACCAACTCGCGGGCCGGGTCGTCGAGAGCCGTGCGCAAACCCTATCGTTACAGACGCAGTGTACGGGGACGGGGGTCTTCAGTGGTGGAAGATGAGCGCCTGTCCCGGGAAGAGCGCGCGCGGGTCTTCTCGCAGCCTGGAAAACGCACGGGGCTGCTGGGGGAAATGGGGCGCAGAGCGGGAGCTGGGGATCGTGTGCACGATGCGCGCGTGCTTGGAGGGTAGAGGCGAGTGTAGCTAAGAGGGTGGGGGGCGGGGAGGTGACCAGGGGACCGCTGGCGGGCGGGGCGGCTTTGTGCCGGCGAGAACCCGGCGCGGGCGGCCGGCTGAATGGATTGGGGCGGGGCAGCGATTTCCTCGCTGCCAGGGGGCCCGAGCCGCTGCCCACCGCGACCTTCCCCCGCCCCGCGCCGGGCGGGGACGGGCTCCTAAGACACACCCGCGGCCCCACACCCGAGCGAGAGGACAGCGACTGTGCCCCAGCAGCAGGGCTGCAGGGAGCGGGCTCGCGCGTTTCTCCGCGCGCGTGAAGGGCGCGGAGCTCTCCAAATCCACCCAGCTCCCAAAACATAACAGGGCGATTTGGGGTGGCCACCACCGAGAGAGCGCTCCAAGCGGTTTCTACATCTCCAGACCCAACGGGAAGCCCCCGGAATGCGAGGCGTCCTCTGGGCCTCACCAGGGTCGCCACACGCGCAGCCCGGGTCCCGGGCTCTCGGGTGGGCTGCGCGACGCTGGCGGTGGAGCCAAGACGCTAGGGGACGAACCGGGGAGGTCTCCAGGGAGGAGGAGCAGGGGTGGTGTGGACGGCGGGCCGCCGGTGGAGGACGCCGGAGCCCAGCGAGCCCAGGCGCAGGGGCCCCGCGCGGAGGGCGCCTCCGGCCCGGGGCGGCCGCTGTCCATGGTGCTGCAGCCAGCCGGGCGCTCGGGCACCCGGGGGCAGCTCAGCCCGCCCGTGCACTCCTCTCTGCGCCGCAGGAGCAGGCTGACGCCCGGTAGGCAGCCCCGGGAGCAGGATGCGAACTCAGCTCCACTGGACACCGGCCAGAGCCCTGCGGAGAGAAATGTGAAAGGGAAGGGAGAGGAGGCAGCCGCACAGCCAGGCCCTCCTCCGGAGGAGTCCGGTTCTCCCCATCCTCCCCAGCCAGTTATGGCTCCACCAGCGCCCCTCTCCTTCTACCTTGTAAGGTCTGCAGGCTTTTCATGTACTTGACGCTCAACTCCAGGATGTCCGCCTTCTCCAGCTTGCGTTTGCGGATCTGATCACAGGTGGGAGGGCTCTTAGCGTGTGGGCTGGCAGGAGATGGGTTTGGGCAGAGGGTCGGGCCAATGTCCTGTGCCGGCCTCACCTGGTGCGAGTAATGTTTCTCTAGGAGTGTCTTGAGCTGCTCCAGTGACACGTTGATGCGGGCGCGACGCTTTTTCTCCATTAGTGGCTTGGAGATCTGTGGACAGGTGGCCTTTAGGGGAACGGCGGAGGGGCTGCCACCTGCTCCCAGCCTCCCCACCCAGGGAAGGGCCCCCACCCTACCCCCCTCAGGACTCCAAACCTTGCGGAAGCTGCTGGCGGGCCCACCAGGACTGTCCCTGGTGGCGGGCTCGCTGCCCATGCTGCCTTGTGTGCACTGGCTAATCGAAAGTGATTTGTGACCTTTATAGAGGAATTCGTTTACATGTCAATGAGGCCCTTCAGACTGGGGGGCCGGGACCTGAGGGGGAGGGGGCCACCTCCTGCACTGGGCTCCCGCCCTAGGAAGCATCTCTGCTTACTATCTCTCTGGCTGCTTTCCAAGTTTGTGAAGCCCTCCCATCCCCTGTTGCTCCTGTCGTTCTGGGCCTCATCCTCTGGTTCGCGTGCCGAACTTGGACTGCTCTGCGTCTCTGAGCATCCCAGGGCTTACTCGCTGAGGGACCCGGTGCCGTCCAAATTCCCTAATGAGCGTGACAGAACTCCCAACCTCGCTGGTTCCTGATGAAGATGCGAGCCAGCGACACCTGCTTTCCGCTCTAGCCCAGGCCGGCAACGCCGCAGTCGCCCTCATGGCCGGACAATGTACCGATTTTCTGCCTGTGGCTGCTCAAAGCCTGGCAGGCAGGGCCCGTGGGGTCCACTGACATGTGTCCCATTAAAGCGTGCTGCCCGCCCGCAGGGCCACCATGGAGATGTAGCCTGAGCTCCCAGTGCTGTGAGTCAGCCAGACGGCGTCATCCAAGCCCGCCACCAGTCCTCGGCTTGCAGGAGGGTGGCCCCAGGCAGACAACCTGTGGCCCTCTGGGGACAGATCTGCCTCTGTCCTGCACAGCAGCCTGCCGGCCCAGTGGCTGCAGTGATGGCTGCCCAGCTGCCCTCCTGGAAGAGGTCTCACTCTGCACGTTTGGGAATCCAGGGCTCCCACTCCTCGCCATTGCTCAGCCCAGGCAGGAACACGCCCCCCCCCCCGCCCGCGCAGGAGTGTGACCTGAGCTCATGTGGGCCCCAGAGGGTGACCTCTAGAGAAGGCGCTGGGTTCAAACTCAGGCAGCGCCTCTTACCAGGCTCTCCTGGTTTTTTTGTTGGGAGGGGGTGTGCAAAAAGCGGACTTTCTTGGGACCACTGGCTGCAGTTGGCTTCTGCAGGGCTCCAGGGTGGGGGAGGGGAAGCTGTGGGCGTGGGGGGGCCGCCCCTTCCCAGCTCAGCCGTCCAGCCAGAGCACCCTCCCCACTCGCCCTCGCTCGGGGTATTGATGGGCCTCGCGGCACCGCTGCGTTCCCAGGCGCCAAGGACCATGGAGAATCGCGCCCCGCCTTCCCCCTTTCAGCCCCAGGCAGCGGCCACAGCAGTGTTCTGGGGCTCCCTTCCTCCGCCCCAGCCTTCCCCGTGGCGCTGGGGCCGGATCCGAGAGATCGAGCCCGGGAGCTGACGGTGGGGCCGAAGCCGGCGATGCGGACGGAGGGCACTGGCGCGCGCCGCCGGACGGATTTGAAGCGCCAGGGCCGGCCGGTCCGGGCGGCCCTCGTGCGCCTAGGCCCGGGCTAGAGGCGGTGGGGCGGCACGGAACAAAGGTCCCGCGGGGCGGGCGGGCGGGGCGGCCGGGCACAAAGGGGGCAGCCGAGTGTTCAGGGCTTTGTGCGAGTCCCACAAAGCGGCTCCCTCGCCCGCCTCCGCCGGGCCAAACTCCGGGCGCCCCGCTGCGCGCGGGCTTCCAGCTGCCGCACATCTGCCCCGCAGCCGGGCGCACGCCTCGCCCCGGCCGGCTCCCTCCCGCCCCTTTGTCGGGGAGTCGCGCGGGCAGCGGGGCAATTTGTCTCTAATTACAACCCCTCCCCATAAAACCGCCTCCCGGACCTTTCAGTCCGCGACATTAGCAACCCAATGGCCCCGGCGGGCAGCTCTCGCGGCCCGCAGCGGGATGCCAGGCCCGCCCTCTCCAGAGTTAGGGTCGCCATAAAAGGGGGTCCCCTCCCCCCGTTGCACCCCCACCCTGCACCCGGGCACCCGCTGCTCTGGGGCCACCAACAGAGTGGCGCCTCGGGCTCCCGGAAGCGCTCACGTGGGCGGCTTAGTGATCCTTAAGCAGTGGAAAATTGACCGCAAAATGCGCTAATTCGCAATGTTCTGCTCTGGCTGCGGGAAGCGAGCCCGCCGCGGTGGGAAGGTGCGCGGCCGCTGCCTCTGCCCGCACCCAGCGCTCCGCTCCCTCTCCTGCGCCCCCTCCACCTGGGCCAAGCGCCCCTGCTTTCCGAGCTCCTCTTCACCCTGCCCGGCTCCCGCACCACCAACAGCCGCTGGGTCCGGACCCTTTGGCCACGCTTGCTGGGGTCGCAAGCGCCCCCATTCCCCACCCCGGCCGTTTCCTTCACTTCCCTTCTGTCCTCTCCGCTTCACCCACAGTCCCGCTCGGTCCCTGGGCCGCGGCTGTCCTACTAGGTTAAAGCTCTTCGCAAGGTCCCTGGGAAGGCTGCAGAAGAGTCCCCGCTCCCAGTGAAGTCCTCCCAGTCCTCCCAGTCCTCCCGGGCCCCACCGCACTGTCGGCCAGCCTTCTGGGGGGGCTTTCCTGGAGCAGGCGCCGAGCAGAGCAGCGGCGCCCGAGACGGGGGTCCACCTGCCTCCTCCCTGCGCTCTTGGGTTGCCCTTGGACAGGGCAGCGACCAACTTAGCAACGAACTTATGCGAACCTGCATGTAGGCCACCGCCGACTTTCCATCTTTAGCACCTGGGGTCCCCAGGGCGGCTCAGAAAGGAGCACAGGCCCCAGTGAGAGAGGAGTTAGAGTGGGTAGTAGGCAGTTAGGGTATTCTGGGTCCCCGAGTAAAAGAGAATTTCCCCACCATGTCTTGGATTCACCAGGGCACGTCTCTTCCATGGGACAGGGCTGCTATTAGCATATCAATTCCCCACCTGAAGTATCAGCCATCACCTCCAGCCATTGTGGGAGGGCCTCAGGCTGATCTCTTTATCATTGAAAGGAGAGCAGGAAGAAGTAATACACATCTGCCTAAGGCCTGGAATGTCCTATGTCTGGTATCTCTGTGACCTTTTGTCCCAAGGCCAGGAACCATGGAAACCAGTAATTTTCTTTGTTTATGCAGAAACATCTTTGAGGGAAACCTTTAAAAGGTGCATTCCCCACCATTCATTCGGGTTTTGGCTTCTTGTCCTCCTGCCACTATGGTAGAGGGTTCGGGTTCTTTTTTCCTCCTGCCACTATGGCAGGGGGTGAGGGTCTTTTCTATCTCAAAACCCCCTCCCGTCGCTAGGACGGGAGTCTTCTCTTCTCAGCTTTTCTAATAAATCTTGCGTTAAAACTAAACTGTGTCCGCATGAAAATTCTTCTTTCCTGCGAGACAAGAATTTGAGGTTGCTGCCATATTCAGAGTCAAAAATCCTGCAACACCAGGACGGAGGCGGCGGGGGGCGGGGTCCCAGGCGCCCCTCTGTTGGTGCCAGGCACCCACTTCCTTGTGGAATCGCTGAGGCTTCGAGGGCCTGTGGGGCTACTGGGGACCCCCACTTTCTCAAGCTGGGGAATTTGAGGCACAATGCTGTGTTTGCCCACCACCACCACCCTGCCTGTCCCTCGTTTCGTTTCCTTGACCCTGGCAAAAGACAAAACATGCCGGATGAGCTGACCCCGGGGACGAGAGCCACCTTAAGCAGCCCACTGCCCATCACAGGTGACGGCCGGGAGCCACGGAGGCAAGGGATGTGGGGGACACACTGGGTGCCCAGGGGAAGAACGCCGCTGTGCCCCTTCGCAGATGCCCAAAGAGACCACTCCATGTAATTAATGATCAGGGCAGAGCAAAAGGCCGGGCTGTGCCGAGGGGGTTGGAGAGGCTGTGATTGTTTCACTCGGCTGTACTGGGACTTCCAATAGCCCAGGGCTCTTCAGGGGGACAATGGGTGGCACTCAAGTGGGCGAGCAGCAAGTGCATCCATGCTGACTGAGGCTGGCCTGGCTCAGCTGGGGAGAGTGAATTCCGAGAGACCCCCATTGTCCCGCCCCTTCTGTGCTTCTCCCCCACCGGCTCTAGTCTTTAAATATTTACCCGGCCCCTTTGTATGTGCACGGCTTGTACATTTTGGGCTGTAGTATTCATAAATCACACTCATTTCCGGGGTTCAGGGGTGAGGGGACAGTCTGCAGTGGCCAAAGCAGGGGAGAGGACGTCTTGGCAAGAACAGGATTCCTTCTGGGGACCTCTGCAGCCACACTGCACAGGTCCCTCGCAGGCAGGGCAGAGGCCTGGCAAGAGCCTAAAACACACCGTGCCAGGGTTGCTGGACTCCTCTGCGTGGGCCAGGCTTAGCTCACACTTAGGGCAGTGGGATGCCTTCAGCCGCGGGAGGTGGCACGATCCACTCACGGCCCCTGGCATGCACCTGACCACTCCGCTACCTGCCCTCTGTCCCTCATTCGGACATGCCAAGTAAGAAGGTGGGGAAAAGCCCAGCTTCGGCGGGGGGTTCTCGGGCCTCCCAGGGGTCTGGGGTTGGAGGCAGCTGTGGGGGCGGGGAGGACCCCAGGGGTGCTGCCTTTGTGCATGGCTCCAAGCACCTGGCACAAAACCATTTACAAGAAAAGGGCTGGGAAGACACCTCAGGCTGCGTAGCTCTCCCTCCTGGTCCTAAAGTAGGCGGCTTGGGCTGGGGTGTGGTTGCTGGGTTGGAAGGTGTTGTGTGGGTGTCCTCCAGCGGGTCTGAGTCAGGGGCGTGACTATGTGCGCACAGACTGACCAACTTGCCAGTCCCTGCGGCAGCTCCCGGTGGTACCTCCAGCCCTGGCCGATGGCACTCCGGAGCCACGGCCCCTCCTTCTTTTTAATTTAATTTTAACGATTTATTTCGAAACAGGAGTGATAGCCTAAAGCCTTAAGTCCTTGCCTTGCATGTGAGGGATCCCATATGGGCACAGGTGCTAATCCCGGCAGCCCCGCTTCCATCCAGCTCCCTGTTTGGGGCCTGGGAAAACGGCCCAAGGCCTTGAGATCCTGAGCCCATGTGGTAGAACTGGAGGGTCCCAAGGCTTTAGGCCGTCCTCTGCTGCTTTCCCAGACCACGAGCAGGGAGCTGGATGGGAAGTGGAGCAGCCAGGACATGAACCAGCGCCCATACGGGATCCCAGCACGGGCAAGGCAAGGACTTTAGCCACTACGCTACAGCGATCGTCGGCCCCTTCTGAGTCCAGCCCCGACCTCACCGCAGGGTGGGAGAGGACGCTGGGCCAGGGACAAGGTGATGGGCGGAGGGGAAGATGCCTTGCCCAGTATCCTAGTCTGGGCTTAAAGTCATTTCCTGCTGGCCTTCTCCTCCGTCAGCTCTCAGAGCTCGCGTAGCAAGGAGCAGTTTATCCTTGAAATGCCGGCGCTGTACATGAAGCTGCTGCCTTGCAGCTCCAGCATTCCCTTCCCGCCTCCGCGACCTGCCCGCCGGTTCGAGTCCTGGCTGCCCCGCTTCCCCTCCAACTCCCGGCTAATGCACTCGGTGGCCGCTGCGCCCATCTGCGGGGACGACCCAAGGTGAGCGGGGGGTCGTTTCTAACTGCGAAGTGCTTGAGGACAGAAACGCAGCGCGCCCGCGACCCCATTTCCGCAGCCGCTCCGCCCGGGCGAGGCCGTTCCCCAAGGGGCGGGGCCGGGCGCGCACCCTCTTCTCGCGAGAACAGGCCGGCGGCGCGCGGCTCCGGGCGGCTGCCCTTCCGCGGCTGGCGTCGGCGGCGCCGTGCGCAGGCGCGGTCTGCCCGGGCTCCAGTGTGCGCGGCCGCCGTCCGCCGCCCGCTCGTCCGCCGCCCTGCGCCATGGCGGGCTGCGCGGCGCGGGTTCCGCCGGGCTCCGAGGCGCGCCTCAGCCTCGCCACCTTCCTGCTGGGCGCCTCGGTGCTCGCGCTGCCGCTGCTCACGCGCGCCGGCCTGCAGGGCCGCACCGGGCTGGCGCTCTACGTGGCCGGGCTCAACGCGCTGCTGCTGCTGCTCTACCGGCCGCCGCGGTACCAGGTACGCGGTACCAGGTGCGGGTCGGGGCTGGGACCCGGCGCCCGGCCTCCCGCGGGCCAGGCTTGCGGTGGACGGGGAGTTCCGTGGCAGCCGCGAGCTTTTTACATAAGTCGAGGGGTGCGGACCCACCTGCCGCGCAGCCTGGGGTCGGTCTGGGGTCCAGGCTGGGCAGGATAGCCGCTCGTGGCGGCGGCCACTAGGAAGTACTGGACCCGGGCTGACCGTCACCTTAGGCCCGGGAGGTGGGTGCGGGGTCGGGCAGCGCGGAGTCTGAAAGCAGACCCCTTGCCTGGCACATGGGCTCCGCCTGCTGCCCACTGCCCTGCCTGCCCAGGGGGAGGCTGGCCGGTCAGTGCCCTGCCTGCCCAGGGGGAGGCCGGCCGGTCAGTGCCTTGCCTGCCCAGGGGGTGGCCAGCCGGTCAGTGCCCTGCCTGCGGGCTGCCTTTCAGATCGCCATCCGGGCGTGCTTCCTCGGCTTCGTCTTCGGCTGCGGCGTGCTCTTGAGTTTTAGCCAGTCATCTTGGAACCACTTTGGTTGGTAAGGACGCCTTGTTGTAGGGGCGTGGGTGACAGGACTGCGTCTCCCTGGCAGCCGTCCTCCTCCACCTGCAGTGTTGTGGGCACTGGGGTCCTCTGTGGCCCGAAGGGGCAGCCCCATCCCGACGCCCCTCTCCCATCTCGGTTCTTGGTGGGTTCCCAGTCTAGTGAGTGGGTCCCCCTCAGTCACCATATGACTTTAACCTCGGGGTGGTTTCAGTGCCCCCTGGACCAAGCCTTGCCCGTTGGGGAGCATTGCCCTATGTGCTGGCACTGTGGAGCCAGCTCCCTGGTGACTGCCAATGTTTGCGTTTTGTTCAGTTTCGTGTCCCCTTGATGTTATCTTGGATTTGTCCCTCTGGTTGGGGACTCTACGAGGCTTCCCTACCCTCAAAATCCCACTTGTTGCAGCCCTGGGAGGCGAGGGCACGCCCGGGCACCTGCCGACCGCAGGTCCTGTGTGTAGGTAGGCCAGCCCCAGTGCGTGCTTCGCTCACGGCTGGCTGGGCGTCTGGCCTCCCGTGACCTCTCCCCACGTTCCCCGCATCTTCCCTGACCAGGTACGTGTGCTCTCTGTCGCTCTTCCACTACTCGGAGTACTTGGTGACGGCCGTCAACAACCCCAAGAGCCTGTCCCTGGACTCCTTCCTTCTGAACCACAGTCTGGAGTACACGGTCGCAGCGCTGTCCTCCTGGATAGAGTTCACGCTGGAAAACATCTTCTGGCCAGGTCAGCGGCCCTGCCCTCTCCGGGCTCACCTCGCAGGCCTAATCCCCACTAAGCCATTTGCAAAAGCTGAGCCCTGACCGTGAACAGAGGGCAAGCTGCCCTCTCTGCTTTAACCTCGGGTGTTAGCACGCTGGCCGGGAGGCCGTCCACCTCCAGCAGCCACAGCAGGGCTTACCTCTGCTGTCACGCTGGCATCTCGGGCAGGAGTTTAGGAACGGAAACCCCTCTCTCTGCCTCTGGAGCCACTCGCAACGGGGGCTTCCCACAGCCCATGGTGTGGATGTACGCGGCTCCCAGCATGCACCTCCCAGCCCAGCTACCACCTGTTGTCCACCAGCAAACAGGGGACACGGAGTGTGAGCCAGAGGGCTGTCTGCTCCAGGAGGGCAGGGCCTGGCAGTGATGGGGAAGACCCGGACCTGTGCTGGCAGGGGCCTAAGCTCCCCGTGTGACCCAGTGTCCCTGTCCTGCAGAGCTGAAGCAGATGACCTGGGTCAGCGCCACGGGGCTGCTCATGGTGGTCTTCGGAGAATGCCTGAGGAAAGCAGCCATGTTCACGGCCGGCTCCAACTTCAACCACGTGGTGCAGAACGAGAAGTCAGACACCCACACGCTGGTGACGAGCGGGGTATACGCCTGGTGCCGGCACCCCTCCTACGTCGGCTGGTTCTACTGGAGTATAGGAACCCAGGTACTGGGTCAGCTTCCCCCACACACCAGAGCTCCGTCAAGGTCGGAACGGGTGCCCTTCACGAGCTTCAGGACACTCCTGGGGACTCGGGGCCTGCCTGCCTCTCTCACTCTGATCTGGAGCGCCCCAGGGGGCTGAGGAGAGGTGGGGCTCCCTCTGCCACGCAGCCGGTGCTAAGGAGGCCAAGGGCATGTGGCGGTGAAGGCGAGCTGCGGGGATTTGCTGAGTCCCAGGCTGTAGGCTGGCTTCGCTTCCTGACAGCTGCTTCCTGATGGGCTCTGCTCCCAGGATGGCTGGGCTGGGGGCTGGACTGACCTGGGAACATCCACCCAGAGCACCAGGTGCACGCATTGCCGTGACTTCCTGGGCGTGATAGACCACATCGTGGCCATCCTTGGATGGATGGCATTCATGAAAACAGCAGGGCCTGTGCTAGCAGTGCCATCCTTGGGTCACGGTGGTCCTGGGTGGATCGGGTGACGCCCCAAGTGCTTGCACTGTGTCCCCTGGGCACAGTGTGTGTGTGTTTGGGAAGGCACAATGATTATGCCTCCTGGGTGCATTAGGCTGGGGCCAGGAACTCCATCCGGGTCTCCTACATGGCTGGTGGTGGGTCACCTCCTGCGGCTCTTCTCAGGCAGGTTAACAGGGATCTGGATTGGAAACAGCAGCTGCGATTTGAGCCCGTGCTCAGGCAGAATGCTGGCTTTACAGGTGACAGTTGAGCCCGCTGCGTCAGCCTCAGGACTGTTCTCTGTCCTACAGTACTGCTCGTGACACACTGAGCTGCCGCCTGCCCGCTGCCCTCCCTGCCCTCATACATTCACATGGGGACACTAGTGCTGCCTCCAAGCAGCTGCTGGCTCTGCACGCCTTGGCACGCTGCTGAGTGCCCAGTGGTGCTGAGCCCACAAGCTCACAGGTGTGCTGTGCATGTCAGGGCAGAACTCAGGAGTCAGAACACGTGCCCAGCTGTGGTGGCGGGTGTCTCCTGTGGAGTGGACATGCGTCCACAGGGACCAATGCAGGAGGCCAGCAGTGGCTGGCAGTGAGTCCCCCGCGAGCAGAGGATGCTGGCTCTCGGAGCTCCTGGCCATGCTAGAGCCCACGGGGCAAGCAGATGTCCTGCAGCACCTGCGTCCGGGATGAGCACTGGTTCAGTTCACAGTGGCTCCACTTGTTTTTTAAGACTTTTTATTTATTTATTTATTTTTATTGCAAAGTCAGACATACAGAGAGGAGGAGAGACAGAGAGGAAGATCTTTCGTCTGATGATTCACTCCTCAAACGGCTGCGATGGCTGGGGCTCAGCCAATTCGAAGCCAGGAACTTCTAGGTCTCCCACACGGGTGCCGGGTTCCAAGGCTTTAGGCCGCCACGGTTAGAACCGGAGCCCATATGGAATCCCAGCTCATTCAAGGCCAGGACTTTAGCTACTATGCTACCACGCTGGGCCCAGCTACTCCACTTTTGATCCAGCGTCCTGCTAATGGTCAGGAAAGCAGTACAGAATGGCCTAGGTGCTAACCTCAGCTCTAGCCCTAACTGTCCATAGGGGAGACCCGGGTGGAGTTCTCATGGCCCCAGCTCAGCCCTGGCCATTGGCAACAATTCAGGGGTGAACTAGCAGGTAGAAGATTGTGCTGCATCTCTGCCTTCCAAATAAATCTGAAAGAAGAATAAGAGAGAACGGAAAAGCCCACGAATGACGGAGGCAAGAGGCAGACATTGGACCCGAGGTGGGCCAAGGTGTTGCTGTGCAAAGATTTAGGCAGTGGAGTGTCCCGGGTGTGCGGTAACCTGCTGGAAGAAGTGTCTGGGGACCTCAGGGCCTGAATCTAGTGGCAGGGAGAGGTGACAGGGCAGCTGTGGGCTGTGTGCAGTGGCGGTGAGCATGTCTGTGTGGGCGCCTAGACTGTGGCCCTCGACCTGACCCGAGGATGGCCTCCCCATGGTTGCTGTTCCCTGGTACGGGGGAGCGGCCATGAGGAAGAGCTTGGGCCTGTGGTGAGGCTGCGCTGTCGGGTGGCCCCCGTCCAGCGCCCTGCCCGTGGTGTCGCCCTGCAGGTGATGCTGTGTAACCCCGTCTGTGGCGTCGTCTACGCCCTGACCGTGTGGCGCTTCTTCCGCGACCGAACGGAGGAAGAGGAGATCTCCCTCATCCACTTTTTCGGCGAGGACTACCTGGAGTACAAGAGGAGGGTGCCCACCGGGCTGCCCTTCATACAGGGCGTCAAGGTGGAGCTATGACGGGTGGGGCCCGCCGCCCCGGCCCCCAGCTTCTCTCCTGGGACTTCCCTGGAGCCCAGAACGTCGGACCCACTGGAGCCACCCGTGCTGCACTGAGTCTAGGTGGGACGTCGCTGCCAGGGGGACCGAGCACATCTCAGCCATAGGCAGCAGGGCCCCGCCAGGGGTGAGCCGTGCGGCCCCGCGGATGCCTGGCCAGGTGGGCTACCTGCAGGCCTCCCACCCACAGCGGGTAGGTGTCACGGGTGGTTGGTGCACACAGGGTGCGTGCACCACCTTTCTTTCAGCCACAAACAGCACAGCTTTAATCTCTCTGTCCCTAAGTGCATGACCAGCCACACAGTTCTAAAGAATTTCCTCATCCAGCGCTTTCGCTCTTCATGTATTTAACCTTATTTACATATCTATTTTTTATAAACAGCCATGTGAATTCCCAGGGGACTCACTTGGCGTCTCCAGTCCCAGCCTCTGTTTGGAGCAATAAGCATCGACACCTCTGGGCGCTGCGGCCGGCTGTAGCAGGTCCCATCGGCGTCCCCGGGCCGGTCTCCTGCCCCCCCCCCGGGCTTGGTGGCAGCCGGCACAGGGCTGTGTCACTTGTCCTTCTCCTGGTACGTGCCCTCCATGTCCCTGCTGTCCGCAGGACACTGGGAAGCACTACTCTCCAGCTTCTGTCTTTCTAATTTAATTTTTTTTTTAAATTTTCTTTACCATAACTTACATATTTTGCGTTTGGGTATAAAGTCACTTAATGATTGTTTTCGGTGTTCTGATCCCAGAGTTACAGACTTTGCAAGGGGTTGATCCTGTGCAGCCACACTCTGTCACGGAGCAGGTGACCAGCTGTGAGCCCGTCAGTGCGGGGCGCTGCGGCTTTGCCTAGCTGCCGCCAGAGGCCGAAGCCTGCTTTCGGTGTGGCTGGGGCAGGCACCGTGTTGCGGTGGCGTTGTGAAGGCAGCAGTGTGGCCACTCCGGTCGTAACCCCCACCGCTCCTCCCCGCAGAGTGGGGTCGGCACCTCCTACCTCACGGGGATTTTGTGAGGACGCGGCCGTGTGCGTGCTTGTGGGGAGGGGTGGCAGGTGAAACCCGCGCTGAGTGAATTACACTCCAGTGGGTTCACTTACCTGTGCGATGCCTAAAATGTATCTTCAAAAGAGCGTTTTATCAACTTGAAAATATACTTATTTCTAGATTTTCCTGGCTTGATTAATGTCTTGGTTCTGTAGGGCTCACTGACGAGGTGTGGCTCTTGCTCTTTGGGAAGTAGACAGACATGTCCAGCCGTTGGCCTTCCTGAAGGCTTGGGGAGTGGGGCCCCCCGCAGGGCACCAGGAGCTGGGGCCAGACTGCTGAGCCTGTGGGCACCGCTGGCTGGGTGTGGCTGGCTGGGCCTGTGGGCACCGCTGGCTGGGTGTGGCTGGCTGGGCCTGTGGGCACCGCTGGCTGGGTGTGGCTGGCTGGGCCTGTGGGCACCGCTGGCTGGGTGTGGCTGGCTGGGCCTGTGGGCACCGCTGGCTGGGTGTGGCTGGCTGGGCCTGTGGGCACCGCTGGCTGGGTATGGCTGGCTGGGCCTGTGGGCACCGCTGGCGTGGCTGGCTGCTGGAGCTCCTCCCCAGGTCTCGGGGTCCCTCAGACCAGGGGCCCCTTGAAGAGGGCATCTAAGTAGGATTGTCCTTCCCTTGTCCCCCCAGGGAACCAGGAGCAGCTGACGATGGCCCACTCTGGGTGGTGCAGCTGGAGGTGCTGGTCAAAGCGTAGGCGCCCAGGAAAGGGCTGGACTGGGGTGGGGGACTTGCAGCCAGCTCTGCTGTAAAGAAAGTGGCACTGTTCCCACCCTGTACAGTTTGGGATCGAGTGACCCGGCAGACACTTAAGGATGACAGATGAACTCCTTAGCGCTGGGGTCTGGCACTGAGCATGGTTCACGAATCGGGCTCCCAGCCACGATCAGCCTCATGAGGTCAAGGCTTGGCAAATGTTTCCTGTCAGTGTCTTTCTTTCTTTTAAGACTTGTTTATTTTTATTGGAAAGGCGGATATACAGAGAGGAAGAGAGAGAGAGGAAGATCTTCCGTCCGATGATTCACTCCCCAAGCGGCTGCGATGGCTGGGGCTGAGCCGATCCGAAGCCAGTTCTTCCGGGTCTCCCACATGGGCGCAGGGTCCCAAGGCTTTGGGCCGTCCGTGACTGCTTTCCCAGGCCACAAGCAGGGAGCTGGATGGGAAGCGGGGCCTCTGGGATTAGCACTGGCGCCCATATAGGATCCCGGGTGTGCGAGGCGAGGATTTTAACCACTATGATATCGCGCCAGCCCCTCCCCCTGTCAGTTTCTTAATGAAGACACCTGCAGGGCTGGCGGTGTGGTATAGCAGGCCAACACTTCACCTGCAAGTGCCAAAATCCCATCTGAGCACCGGCTGTGTCCCTGCTCATGTTCCTGGAAGGCAGCAGAGGATGGCCCAAGTGCTTGGCGCCTGCACCCATGTGGGAGACCCTGAAGATTCCTGGGATTCAGCCCAGCCCAGCTCTGGCCGCCGTGGCCACTGGGGAGTGAACCAGCGGATAGAAAATGTTTCTGTCTCTCCTGTCTGTAACTGCCTTTCAAATACAAAATAAATGTTAAAAAAATTGTTTTAATCCATTCAAAGACTTCTCCTCCTATGGGTTGCAGAATCAACAAAGCTGCGTTGGAATGGTGCCAAAATGCAGGGCATGGCAGGAGCCTGTGAGCATTCAAGGCACCCAGGGCAGCCAGCTGGCCCTTTCGTGGCATGCACTGCCTGGTCCTGGAGCCCAGAGAGCACACTGTATTCCCTCTGTGGTTACCAACCTTGGTCCGCAGCTGCCACTGAAGGCTCAGACGCGGGTCCCTCTACCAGCCGAGGGCTCCGTCCTGCCCATATTCTGCCCTCAGAGTTCCTGGCGGGGGTGGGACACCTGTGGCTCACTGCAAAGGGGCAGCCTGGCCATCGCAGGGAGAGTAACTTAGCCGAGTAATTCTACTTTTTACACACAGAAAAATGTTTATTTGACTATTTGAAACGGGGTTTTCTTGCACAGATAGTGACCAATCTTAACAATGGTCAATTTTATATAAGACTGTCCTTGATTTCACAGAACAGCAGCCTGAGCGTGGAGAAGCTAGGAGGCCATGCCGCCCAGAACGGTGACTTCCTCTGCCCCCGAGGTCCACCAGCGTCTGATTTTTGGGTGGTCATGGACAACTAACTGGGTTAAAGCAGCGGGGGGGAAGGCCTGGCCTGGACTCTGCTGTCTGCCCTGGAGGTGACCAGAGCCATCTGTTGGCTCTGTGGTCTTCAGCCTTCCATCAAAGCAGGATGGTGACGGCCCTGGCACTCTGTCCTTGTGGTCATGCTCTGATTGCTAGTGGATGACCAAGACACCGGGTTCCTGCCAGGCCAGGCGGGTGCTGCGCCCTGACCTTGGCCGCGCCTCTAACACTAACACCCAGACCAGCAGGGCCGAGGGCCCTGAGGGGGGCATGTTTGCCCATGAAGTCAACTCTAGGGGGGCAGTCCTCTCACACTGAGTAAGGACCAAAGCGTCACACCATGTAGTCGCAGGGAACAGCACACCTCAGCCCAACCATAGAATCTGGAACAACGTGGCGGAGTTCGTGGGTTCTGCAGCTGATCGGGGGTTGACCTGGTCAAGGAGTGGCCGCTCCTTGCTCCCTGTCATGACATTCAAGCTCTGGAAATCCACCCAGCCACTGGGGACCGGTCCTGTTGGGCGAAGATGGAAGCTCTGTGGGGACATGGGCCCTGTGTCTCCAGCTGGGTCTGCGATGGGCTTACTTTGTCCCTGGGGGGCTCTTCTGAGGAATTGCTTGGTCTGGCTACTGCCCATTTAATCCCTGCCCAAGGAATCCAGAATCAAGAGGTCCTGGTGGGTGACCTTGTCTTCAGCTCAGGTGCCCTGTGCTTTAGCTTCTGTGACAGTGTGTGTGTGGCAGCAGCTGAAGCGAGAGGCACACGGGGGAAGGTAGGGCTGACCCCTGTCACCTGCCACGCTGCGACTCCAGGCAGTCCACAGACCTCACGCTGCTTAGCGGCTCCCGTCCCTGCCTGCAGCTAACAGCAGTACTGACAGGAGTCTGTGACAGTCACACCACTGATTCCACATGTCCGTCCCCCTGGCGAGTGTCTGCAGACACGGACTCCGGTGGGCAGCTCCGGAACCCGTCCTCAGCCACTTCACCAAGGGAGGGAGCAGTGTCGCATGTTGGGAACATGAGCTCAGGCGGCAACCACAGCCGTCCATCCTGAGAAGGTCTTGTGTGTCCCCATCACACCTGGTGGTCACTTGTCACCGGCTGAAGACCTCTCGGATCTGTTTCACAAACACGACTCTGCCAAGGCCGTGGGGCTGGGAAGAAGCAAGCTGGTAACCAAGGGGGAGATGGCCTGAGCTCGCTTTGTGCCCATACAGGCAGCGTCCCTGAGCCCCACACCCCACACCTGCAGTGCCAGCAATGTGCGGGCACGCTCGACGCCGAGCACACAGTCCCCCGTCTCAGACGGCTGCTCGGCTGGCCTCGCGCCCTTAGGTGCAGAGCCCTGCTTCACCTGGCCGCGGTCTCCCCGGTCCTGCTGTCGTCATATGGAGTTGGGGAATTTTCGGACTCCTCTTCTGCAGGTGCCTGGAACCTGGGCACGAGAGCGTGTGTGCAGGAGTCAGGAACCATGAGCCCAGCCTGTCGCGAGGCCCTGGGCTCCCTCCACACAAAACCGAACCGGAGCAGATGCCCAAGGCCCGCCACACACTTTATCCTTCGCGTTCCTGAATATTTGCCGAGGCCTCTGGTAGAGGGCGCAGGTCCTGCTCTCATTGGAAACCACATGCTGTGTGGGGGAGACCTGTGATGGGGGACTGAGGAAGGGAATGCAGCATGGTGGGCCCAGGTGGTGCCCTGCAACACGGAGTGAGGCCCTGCAAGGACATCCAGGCCAGGGCTGGCACTGTGGCAGCACTGGCACCAGTTCCAGCTCTTGCCTATTGCACCTGCAATCCAGCTCCCTGCCTATGGCCTGGGAAAGCAGTGGAAGATGGCCCAAGTCCTTGGGCCCCTTCACCCACGCTGGACACCTGGAAGGAGTTCCTGGCTCCAGCCTGGCATAGCCCTAGCCGTGGCAACCGGTTTGGGGAGATATTTCTGTCTCATCTACCTTCAAACTAAATCTTTTAAAAAGAAAAGCAAGTTCATTCCAGATCGGCCCAGAAGCAGGAACCTGGTGACCTTCAGGGGAGTGGCAAAGCCACTGTGACCAGGGTGGTATTGGGACCAACATGATCAGAGGGAGGCAGGGACGGGTCCCTGAAGGCAGCTGGGTTCCTCAGTGGTGGGCAGGAGGCCAGCAGAGACCACTGGCTGTGTGGCGTGCTGAGGGGCCACTGTGCTTTAGATGAGTTGGGAGGGGAGCAAAGGAGACCCCAGTGGGTGGGCTGAGGGAGCAAGGTCATTGGGATTTGGGGATGAGGTGGGGTGCAAGATGCAACCCAGGTTGTCTCCCAGGCCTTATGTCCCAGAGAGGGCGAGGCCGACCACTGGTCTGCAGGGAAGTCTCCCGTCGGGGCAGGGGGAGGGGTGCCGGCCCTGCCCAGGAGGAAGGAGCTGCAGGTGAGCCTGGAGCTTGGAGGTGCTGTGCTGGGGAGATGGGTGGGGCTGTTTGCTTTCATGAGGCTACCTGGGGAGTGAGAGGGGAAAAATCTGGATTTTGCCCACGGACATGCAGGGGTGAGCCAAACAGGCAGAGTCACCAGAGATGAAAGCAGTGTGGGGAAGAGAGGGTGGTGGCCAGGCTCCTGGGAGAACCAAGGAGGGACTGGGGCTGAGCAGACGGGTGGGGTCAGAGGCGGGATCAACACTGGCCCAGCAGCCGCGCAGACCCCTGGAACAGGTGCATGAAGAGGAGCCCAGGTGGCCCTCCACCCCACATCCCACGTGCAGCCCCATCCTGAGCTCCTCTGTTCATGGACGCTGACTCCTGTGTACGCAGGAAGGGGTCAAACAGGTGCTCCCTGCGAGGGAGTGTGCACCAGAACGCAGCAGCCTCCACAGGAATGCACCTGCCATGGCCAGCGGCCAGCATGTGGCCCCACCCGTGGCCTCACTGCTCACACAAAAGCTGGTACGGCCTGTCACTGAGGGTTTGTAAGTGGATTCATCCAGGACCTGGTGTTAACGACTTTGAATGTCCACCTCGCAATGTGCTGGGGAGGAGTCACAGCATTTGGTCCAGGGCACAGGGGCCTGGTTACAATCATAAGCAGTGTGAGTTGAACCTCGGGGGCACAGGTGAGGGGAAGGGGGGCTTGGCCGGGGTGGGCCTTGCCTGACTCTGTGGCACATGTTCACTTCTTCCCCAAACTCACAACTTGGCTAAAACAACAAGAAAAGGGGCTGGCGTTGTGTCACAGTGGGTTAAGCTGCCACCCATGACACTAGCACTCCTTGTTAATGCACTTGGGAAAGCAGCCGAGGGTGGCCCAAGGGCTCGAACCCCTGCACCCATGTGGGAGACCTGGACAGAGTACCCAGTCTCCCGCCTTCTAGAAGACTTCTCTGTCTCCCCACCCCAGCCCTTTCTCTGTAAATCTTTCAGATAAATCTAAAGAAAAAGGAGGCAGAGCCCTCCAGGTTAGGATGGGACAGGGACGAGGAAAGATGTTCCTAAAATGTGGGGCGCTGAAGACCACTGGCCCGTGAGGACCAGAGCTGGAGACAGGACAAGCTGAGAGCCAGGGCCGTACCACCAGAGGGCACAGCCTAACCGACGGCCCTGGAAGCCAACGGAAGCAGAGCCGGATGCTCGCTGGGCCACTTGGTCAAGTATGAAAGCGGGGCTGAAGGTGGCCCAAACTCGCCCTCTGTCCCCCACTGCGGTGCGGACACCGCCCATATCCCAGAGGGGCAATGTGGGTCATGCTGACGATCCCTCTGTCCTGCAATGCCTGTCTGTCTGTCTGGGTGTGCTGCCAGCCCAGGCTGGTCCTAAGCGCACAGGCGCTGGTGAGCACATCTCCCTGCTCCGTGTCCTGCCTGGGATCCTCAGACACCCCAGGAAACGCCTTCTGGGAGCGGGCATTTGGGGAAGACTGGATCCCATGTCATAGAGCCCGCCTTGGAGTCCCAGCGCTGATCCCGCCTGGGAAGGTGATGGTTCAAGGACTGCGCTCCCTCCTACCGACATGGCCGATCTGGACTGAGACCCCGCCTCCTGGCTGTCCTGGCCCAACCCTAGCAATTGCAGGTATCTGGATGGAATGGCAGTGCACTCTCCCTCTCTCCTTCTGAACAAATCAATCTTTAAAAAATTAATAAAAGTCCCGGCGGCGTGGCCTAGCGGCTAAAGTCCTCGCCTTGAACGCCCCGGGACCCCATATGGGCGCCGGTTCTAATCCTGGCTGCTCCACTTCCCATCCAGCTCCCTGCTTGTGGCCTGGGAAAGCAGTCAAGGACAGTCCAAAGCCTTGGGACCCTGCACCGCGTGGGAGACCTGGAAGAGGTTCCTGGTTCCCGGGTTTGGATCGGCACAGCACTAGCCGTTGCGGTCACCTGGGGAGTGAATCATCAGATGGAAGATCTTCCTCTTTGTATATCTGACTTTGTAATAAAATAAATAAATCTTTAAAATAATTAATAAAAGCAAGTGCCGCCTGCGGCCTGGAGGTGGTATGGCAGCCGAAGCTGCAAGCAGCCTGCTCGTGTGACCTGGTCTTCGCAGGTGGTTATCCCTGCCTGGTCCACCCCAGCCCAACTCCCCTTCCCGCCGCACCTGCTGAGGGGCCCCTCACCTGGGCTCCAGCCGTTCTTTCACCTTGGCGATGGAACGGACATAAGGCGTGATCTGTTTGGTGATGGTGGCCAAGCAGGCATTCTCCTGCCTTAGCTGGAGGAGTTCCTGGAGCTGGGCTGTGGGGCCGAGACCAGACTGGGGCTGGGTTCCATTGAACACCCAAACTGACCTGTAAGCCCCCACCGGCGGAAGCCCTGGGCTGTCCCAGTGACCACCTCCAACCACAGGGCAAGGGAGAGGGTATTCGACTCCCGGGCTCCCGGCCTTGGATGCACCCAAGTGCTACCAGGGGGCAGGGGAGGGATTTGGGGTTTGTATGGGGTTAGCATGTGCGTTAGCCCAGGATGGGACGGGGGTATCACTTGGCAGTGAGCTGCTGGGACCTTCATAAATCTCTTGCTCATTGGCTACCCGCTGATAGCATTCCTCCCAAACCTGAAACAGAGAAGTTGGGGCTCCTGGCTGCAGCCGCACAGAGCCCAGCCCAGCACCCCAGGCAGGTCCATGTGGTTCCTAGGCTCCCAGGCACACAGAAGCTGGAGCGCCCAGCCTTGCCCTCTGGCCCCACCGTCCGCCCGCTTCCTGCTGCAGTCATGGGTGGTGGAGGGGAGGGCTACCTCCTGGAAAATGGCTCGCATGCCCTCCGTGGAAGTGTACTCCGAGGCGATCCTGGCGTCCAGCTGCAGCGACCGCTGCAGGATGTCGGCCATGATCTCGGCTTTGATGAGTGAGTGGTGCTTGGTGAGGTCCCGGTGCAGCTCCTGGGCCTGGTCCTTCAGATTCTGTACCTCCCCCTGTAGGCTCTGCACCCAGTGGCCATTCCAGGGTGTCCAGTTAAGGCCGGACCTCGGGGAGCAGGGGAGGGGTGTCTCCCACCCTGCAGGGGCTCAGGCCTCTCACCCGGTAGGCTTCCTCATAGTGGCGGCAGTGCTCCGCGAAGGGCATATCCTCGGCCAGCAGGGCCTTGGTGCTCACGGAGCGGTGCAGTGTGGGCTTTGGCACTGGTGACCTGGACAGCTTTCTCCCCGGGGAGGGACAGCTGGCTGTTATCAGCACCTTGGGGCTTGAGCCTCCTCCCAACCTAGGAAAACAGCCAGTGTGGCTGGGAATGGGCGGTGCTTGCCCGCCCCCCAGCCTTCCAGGCCACACTTAAGGACAGCTGGGTTGGGTTTACCTGACACCCAGTCTTTTGGCACCTGGGACCCCAGCGCGGGCGCACGCTTGCCGGGGTCAACCTCTCTCCCGACTCCAGCGCAAACAGAAGCGCTGACGGGTAGGGCGGCTGCAGCAATGGTTAGGGGCAGCTCCCCGTCCTACCCTGACGTCCCCGACCTCCTAGCAGGTGTCGGTGGCCAGAACGCGAACACAAGGCGCGGCAAGCGGCTGAGCCGTGAAGGGCGGCCCGGCCTCTCCGGCAGGCTCTGACCCCTTGACGTGCCGGCCCACCCGGTTGGGGGGTTCTCATGCCAGCCCGCCCTGTCCTGGGTCGCTGCTTACGTGTTGGCGCCACCCGGCGCGCCCGCCGCTCCGCGCGGCCCCAGCTGCAGAAGCGGCTCCAGGCAGCGCGCGAACTCGGCGCGGTAGTCGCTGGTGATCTGGGTGGCGGGACGCGGCGTGAGGTGGGGGGACCCTTGGCCCGCGGGGTTCCTCCCAGCCCTGAGCTCCCGCCGCGCGCCCACCTTGCTGCTCTGTGCTGGCCTTAGGCGGTGTGGCCCCGTGACCACGCGCTGCAGGCGCTCCATCAGTTCCTGTTGTGGCCGAGGGCGCAGGCCGGTGAGGGAGAGGGCACGGCGGGGACAGGTGGGGATGGCGGGGACAGGCGGGGGTGGTGGAGGCCCGGAGGCCCCAGCGCCAGTCCCAGGTGTCCTGAGACTCCTGTCCGCGCCCCCATGTCCAGGAACAGGGGCCGAACCCAGCGTCAGCTGCGACTGCAGTGCCCCGCCCCCCATGTGTGTACATGATGAGACGGAGGAGGGAAAGAGGAGCCTAGAGACTAGGGCTAGCCCGGCAGGTGGCTTCCCCGGGCAGGGTGGGGCTCCCGGGAGACAAGGCCTGACTCACATAGCCCAGGTCCAGAAACTCAGCCTTGTTGGCCAAGCGAAGGAAGGTGGAGCAGATGAGCAGGTGGATCTGTGGATGGGACGCTGCTCAGGGCCTGGCCAGGGGAGGAAGAGTCCTGCCGGTGGGGGCCCAGCCTTGCCTCCCCTTACCTGCAGGGTGGGCAGGAGGGTGGCCAAGTGGGAGAGCTGCTCCTTGAAGGCCTTGTCCTTCTCTTCATATTGGCTGCGGAGGGGCGGGCTGCCAGGTCACCAAAGGGGAGGGCTGCCCACCCACTTCTGGGGGCCTGGGGACAGGACCGAGTCTCCTCCCTGTTCCCTCTTGCCGGCCTCCCCCTGGTGGAGGGCCAGGGTCGGGGCAGGGCGGGCCTGGGCTGCACTTACCTCTGCACCGCCTGCAGCAGCAGGGCCTTCCTCTCGGCCAGTCTTTCCTGGGAGAGAGGTGGCTGCTGACCCACATCCCGGAGCCCAGGTACCCTCACCTGACATGTCACCTCCCCCACCTCGAGGTTCAGCAGCCCCCAGGAAGAGGGTGGGCCCCCTGCGAGCTGCGCAGGGGCACCTGTCCAGGAGGTGGAGGCTGCGGGGACGGAGGGGGGATGGAGGGGTCCCAACCTCGGCCAGCCCTCACCTGCATGCTGCCGAAGAGCGCGTGGATGGCGGCCTCCTCCTCAGCTGCGCTGCCACGCACCTCCTCCACCATGGTGTGCAGCAGTGCGATGGCCTCCCGCGTGGCCGCCTGCAGGGCCTTCACGGCCTGGGGGCAGAGCAGACTCAGGAGGAGAGAGCTGAGGTCTCCCACGCCCCCCAAGCCAAAGCCCCCGTGCCTTACCAGCACCGCCTGCTCCAGGCGCTCACAGCCCTGCACGTAGGCCGACTCCAGGTCCACACAATGGGCCCTGCTCTCCCTATGGGGACTTGATGGGTGAGCTGAGAGGCTAGAGGACGCCCCCAAGCATGCTCGCCTCTCGCCCCCTCTGCTGACTGACCCTTGCATGTCCCGGAAGCAACGGATGCACAGCAGTGACTTCTTGTCCGTGGAAAACATGAGGTAGGGTTCAGCGTGCATCGCTGCGGCAGAGGGGAGCGGCGGTAAGAGCTCAGGCTCTGCTGCCCAACCCCTCTCCACCCCACACCCCTGCGCCTGGCCCAGGGCGCTCACGGCACTGCTGGAGTACATCGCGGCTGCGTTGGCCCAGGGCTACGATGTCGTGGCGCGCGAACATGCGAGCTCTGTGCGTCTCGTCGCGGCAGCGCGCGCACAGGGGCTGCCCGCACGTGTTGCAGAAGTAGGTGGTCTCGGCGTCCTGCGGGCAGAGCGCACACGGGCTCAGGGCCGCAGCAGCCCGTGGCGGCTAGCGCGCAAGCCACACTCTTGCTTGGCTGGATGGTTCAGCACAAGGTCGAGGAGGCTTGGAGACTAGGTACCTGGGGCTTGGACGTGGACATCCACTTCCACGAGTGAGCATGGAGGGAAAATACAACGTTTGCAAAACAGCCCCCCCTTCCTGCCCCCACAGAGAGCACCAGACACCCCAGCCCCAGTCCGGCCTCAGCCCAAGCTGGTGAGTGAGCTGGAGTTAGTCTCCAGCTCCACTTGGAGGTGCAGGCCAGCAAGACCCCACCGCACCACACGGAATGGCCACCAGGGAGCTGTACTTGAATCTCCCACCCTTGTAATGGTGCCCACACGTGGGGATGTCCAAGTCGCCTCAGGGCGGCCACCTTGGTCTGGCATCCCTGGCGGCTCCCGGCCCCGAACCCCCAGCCCCAGCCCCATGCCGCTGCCTGCTTGCTGCACTCCAGGTCACAGTTGGCACAGTGCACGGCCTCCACGCCATCCCCCGAGCTGTCCACCAGGAACTGCAACAGCCGGTCCAGCGGTGGGAGCCCACTGGCCCCCTTCACCAGTGTCTGGTGTCTGTGGAGAGGTGGCAGCAAAGTCCAGGCACCTTCCCTGGGGTGGGGGTGGAGGCTCCTGAGCCTCAGCCTCACATTCCAGGCTGGAGCTAAAAATAACGGTGTTGGAGGTCCTGTGCGGCCTGGGGTCTGCTATTAATAACACAGCCCACTCCGCCCTCCCCCAGGATGGGCAACCCTGGGAGAGCAGACACCTTCTCCCCCCACCACACTTCTCCCCGCCAAGGGCAACTTCAAGGACACCCCAAAACAGTGAATCCTAGACTCCTGAAACCACCCCCAGCCACGCATGGGAATGTCCTGACCTCTGGAAAGATGCCCACGCTGGCTCCCTGAAGACCCCTTTCCTGGCTTCAGTTAGGTTAATCTGGGGAATGGGTGGTTCTGGCTGGGGGTCTGCAGGAACTGCACAAGGCACAGCCCTCCCAACAGGCGCCTGCATGGTCCCAGGCTCACCCTGCTTGCCCAGGTAGATCCAACCCCCAGCCTCTGGGCACTCACTGGCACAGCGGGCAGGTGAGGCAGCCATCGGTGGTGCAGCCACGCAAGCAGCTAGCACAGAAGTCATGGAAACAGTCCAATAGGCAGGGGCGCTCGTACTGCGTGTGGCACAGCGGGCACATGAGCAGGTGGCCGCTGGCCACATCCAGGGCACTCAGCCCTTCCAGAGGCACGAAGATAGCTCCCGACATCTGTGGGCGAGTGCAGGAAGCAGCTGGGACACAGGATTCTGGTTCCAGGTGGGGGGTGGTCCCAGCAGGGGTACAGGCCACGCCCTATCTGCCCCGTCTGGGTCTGCTGGGGTGTCCCAGAGGGGCTGTGGAGTGGAAACCGCTGGGTCTGTGGTTGGAGCCTGGCACCTAGCTGGTGCGCCTGGCTGCTAGCGCGGGGAGGACTGGGGCAAGGGGCCGGGTCCTGGTGGCAAGGGGCGAGCTGAGTGCTCAGCTCCCAGCCTTGCCTCACTGGTGCTGCCAAGGTCGCTGATCGCTGGGCCCCGGAAGGTCAGGGCTTCCCACCCGGCATCCCCTGCCCGGGCTCCCCGCCCCGTGTCCTCTGCGTGACCCATGGGACAGTGCCGGGATTCTTGCTGCGCGGCCTGCCCCTGCTGTAGAGGCAGAGAGGAGGGGACATATCACAGACACGGGCAGGCTGGGCTCTTGGGCCGAACCTTGCTGGAGCGGCTCAGCCTGGGGCCTCACAGGACTCCCCTTGGCTGTGGGGTGACTGAGGGTTCCCTGCTTAGGGCCGTACTCTCTTGGGTGGGGACTGAGTGAGTCCCAGCACAGAGTGGGGGCTGGGGAGGCAGGCTGCCGCTCTGGAATCCTTGGCCTGCCTGGGGCCGCTGCAGGGTGCTGTGCTCAGCCACAGGCCTCCTCACAAGGAAGTTCAAGACCAGGCAGGCAGGGAAAGGTCCCTGTGCACAAGGGGCCAGAGCAGTGCCCTCTGACCTGGTTGTCACAGCTGGGCCTTGGCGTCTGCGCCTGGAACGGCCCTCTGAAGCCCACGTTCAGAAAAATGACTATGGATTACACACAGGCCAAGACCCTTGGGTCTGTGTCAACTTACCGGCTCCTGAGCACAGCAAGCCTTGCCTTTGCGAAGGGACAGAGCTGGCCCCTGGAAGGCAACCCCTCTTCCTTCTGTTTTTAAAGATCTGCTTATTTACTGGTTTAAAAGGCAGAGCATGAGAGAAAAGACCCCGCACTGTTCACTCCTCAGATGGCTGCAGCAGTCAGGGCTAGGCCTCAGAGGCAGCAACTCTGCGTCCGGTGTCCTGTGTGGGCACCTGGGCCATCTTCGCTGCTTTTCCGGGTGCAACAGCACAGAGCTGGACTGGAAGTGGAGCAACTGAGACTTGAGCTGGGGCCCACACAGCGTTGCTGTGCCACAGCGCTGGCCCCAAGTCTTCCTCAAACTTGGGTTTCTATCACTCCGTCCATTCCATCCAGTCATTCTAGTGTGGGTCAGAGAGGGGACCTCACACGGGGACACAGGACAGGCCAGCACAGGACAACAACTGTGCGGCACACAACAGCATCTGACGCATACCATGCATGCTCCCCTGTTGACAGTGGGGTCGCGCCCCAGAAAACTCATGGTAAACTGGAAGCCTTAAGGGTCAGACCTGCAGGCCCAGCATACCCGTGTGCCACAGCAAGTTCTCTGGGTTGGTGCCCAGTGTCCCCATCCAAAACATGTGTACCCTGGGGGCAGGGCCAATGTCGGGGGCTTGGGGTCTTGCTGTGGTAGGTGGGAAACCCAAGATGGGGCCCTGGACTCCTAGCCATGAAAGGCATCTGGGGAGGTACCAGTGAAGGGAAGGCGTTTCTCTTTCTCTCTGCCTTTCAAATAAGTAAATACAATGATTAATTCAGTTTTTTAAAAAAGACTTATTTATTTTTATTGGAAATGCAGATATACAGAGAGGAGGAGAGACAGAGAGAAAGATCTTCTGTCTGCCGATTCACTCCCCGAGCAGCTCCTACGACCGGAGTTGAGTTGATCCGAAGCCAGGTTCTTCTGGGTCTCCCACGTGGGTGCAGGGTCCCAAGGCTTTGGGTCATCCTTGACTGCTTTCCTGGACCACAAGCAGGGAGCTGGATGGGAATCGGGGCCACCGGGATTAGAACCAGTGTCCACATGGGATCCCAGCGCATTCAAAGTGAGGACTTTAGCTACTAGGCTACCATGCCGGGCTGATTAATTCACTTTTTTTAAAAACAATTTTTAAAAAATTAATTACATTGTATTATGTGACACAGTTTTATAGGTACTGGGATTCCCCCAACCCCTCCCCAGCCCTCCCCCCATGGTGGATTCCTCCACCTTTTTGTGTAACCACAGTTCAAGTTCAGTTGAGATTCCTTCATTGCAGGCATATACCAAGCATAGAGTCCAGCATCTTATTGTCCAGATAAGTTCAACGGCTTCTTGGGGAGACCTTCTCTGGTCTGAAGGTAGAGCCAAAAGAGTAAAATCCTGATCAATTAAAAGCCCCAACATAACATCAGCAACAATATATAACGTTATGGCATTAATTGACATAGTATTGACATATTTTAACAATATGTTAAAATTAAATGCAAGTTCTTAACAACCTCCTGTGACTACTTCAATGACATTTCAACAATTGAGGTGCAAAACAGTTTTAGGAGGGGTGTGCAGAGAATTCCTCAATACCTTGGTGAGGAGTACTTACTCTGTGTCCTACCTAGTAAGGTATGTGTGAGTCCACGCTGACCAAGCTTTCCTTGTTGTTCTCTGCCTATCCATTCTGATTTGTGAGTGTGAGTGTGAGTGTGTGTGTGTGTGTTTGGGGGGGGCTCTGGAGTGACCCTGATGGTCATTGCAGAGAGGGTGGGGACCCAAAGTTGGAACTAAGTAAGGACCAGAGAAAGCTCCTCTCCCTAGTCCAGAAGGAAGTTTATTGTCCTGATTCTGAGGACCACTCAGGGTTCCTGGCTGTTGTTCCCGGCTTGGATCCTACGAGGAAGAATTCAGGCTTCTTTCATCCCGTGTAGTAGGTCCAAGGCGGGGGGAGGGAATGTCCTCTGAGTTCTTGGCCTCTAAAGGCATTCCAGTTCCCCGTGGTCTCTTTGGCAGTTGGGATGCAGTCCTTGGTGCCTGTACTGAAAGTCCTTGGTGGGGATCTGGGAGTCTCCAGGGTTGGGATACAAGTCTCCTCCTGTCCACCTGCTCCACTCTGGGGGTCCCCCTGCTCTCTAAATATGACCTCCTGTTAATAGGTTGTCAGGATCGCTCATGATTCCCCCTGTATGTCTCTGTAGTTTTACTATTGTCTAATGCTGTTTTGAATCTATTGTCTATAAGTTACCTGTTATGTTCCTGATAGGTTACACTACACGGCTTCCTCACACATTCAAAGGAGATGGAAGATTTCCTTGCTCTCCCGCCCCATTTCTAAGTAGCACAAGGTTTTGAAAGTATATTCGGTTTTACAATTTTTCAAAACACATGGGTTGAGACCGTATTAATCACAGGTTCATCTGAGGATGATTTACTGTCATTGCAAAGCCCTGAGAGTTCAGCATGGAGCTATCCAAGCAGCAATCAAAGAACCAAAATGCCAGAGCTTCCTGGCCGGTCGGCCAACAGACAGAGCCTAGCACTAAATGGAGCAATGGCCGCCTGGGGGCGGCTCCCCACGTGCGCGTGGTAGCCACTGTGTGGTATCCAGCCATGAGATGCCCGTCCCGGGTCCTCCAGCCACCATGTGGCGGCTGGAAGTCCTGATTAATTCACTTTTAAAAAAGGATTTATTTTATTTTTATTACAAAGTCAGATATACAGAGAGGAGGAGAGATAGGAAGTGGAGCTTCCGGGATTAGAACTGGCGACCATATGGGATCCCGGCCACATTCAACGTGAGGACCACTAGGCCATGCCGCCGGGCCCTGATTAATTCACTTTTAAGAAGAAATGCTTTTAATGCGCCCGCAGTACAGTGTAAGCACTCGGTATGTCGTGTCACCGTGTAACCCAGGATGGCACAGACCCGGTTAAGTGCAGAGTCAAAACCGCCAGTCTGGCTTCAGCTGCGCGTCTGTCTGTCTTTGAGCTCAAGACCGTAGGTCGGCCCAAACACACTTTCTGAGAGAGAAATGAGTGCAGAGCTGTCTCTGAGGTGGCACGTGTGCGGGGCGCCCTGCTGCCTGCTCCCCGGGGCTGCTAACCAAGGGTGTGCCCCCGCACCCCGTTACGCTGAGCCCGGTCCTGGAAGAGACACCCCGGGACCAGAGAGGAGATGGGTAAGAGTGGGCACTGCCCGAGGCGGAGCAATGCGGCCATGCACCCCGCTTGCAGGGTCAGGAGGGCTGGGCTCTGCAGGGAGCCATAGTGGTCCTGGGCAGCGGTACCCCCATCTCCTAATGCTCCTCACTTCCCACAGGCCCTGGGGTCTACGCCGGCTTAGCGAATCTCTTTAACTTCTTCTCCAGAGCCCCACTCTCCCTCCGGGCTCGTCCAGGTGGGATCTCCGGCGCCCCCCACGCGCCCACGCGCATGCTCGCCGGGGGACAGGCCGCCCGGCCGGATCGCCGACTCACCGTGCGGACAGGCAAGACCAATCGCTCCCGGCGCGCACGCGCTGCCTCGGGCCGGCGGCGCGCGAGGGGCGGGGCAGAGCGACTGGTGCTGCCTGGGCGCCGCGCTTCCGGCGCGCTGCGTGCTCTTGGCGTCTGCGTGCTGCGTCCGCCTCCCTTTCTGCCTCCGCTGCCGCCATGGCGCCCGTGGTTAGTGCGGCTCCGCGCGCGGCCTGGGCTCCCGGGGGCGGCGCGGGGGCTTCGGGCGCCCGGCGGCCGCGCGGGCGCGCCGGGGATGCGGCGCCTTCCGAGGGCCGCGCCGGGGCGGCTAGCGGGCCCCGTACGCCGTGGGCAGAGGAGGCCGCGGCCTGAGGCCCGTGACCGCGGGGGTCGGGCGGCTCGGCTTGGGGAGCGGGGCGGGGAGCACGCGGGCCTGCCGGCGCAGGTGGCGTGGACCAGGGATAACCTGGACCAGGGATGGGGTGGATCAGGGGGTGGCGTGGGCGTGGATCAGGGTGGGGTGGACCGGGGATGGTGTGGATCGGCTGGAATGGGCTGGACCAGGGGTGGTGTGGGGGTGGAGTGGGGTGGCATGGATCAGGGCTGAAGTGGACTGGACCAGGGGTGGGGTGAGGGTGGAGTGGAGTGGGTGGACCAGGAGTTGGAGGCAGGATGGCCCGGTTCTGGTGCTCCTTCTTGGTCTTCCCCCCGGGTGGACTGTCTACCCGTGGGGAGGACCGCTCTGTGCTTCTGGTCCATGAGGTCTGAAGCTCTCGGGGAGCAGGTGTGTGTTCCTGGGACTAGAGTTTTAAATAAGCCTGGGAGATCGCTTGGGGTGAGAGATGTGGCAGGAGTTGTCCTTGGCCATCATCCAGCCTTGGGAAAGGATGGCCCCTTGGTGCAGGTTGTGGGTGAATTCGTGCAGGTGTCTGGGGCGGGCAGGGGAGATGCGGGCCTGGAGAGGATTGTCTACGTGATGGGGGGAGCAGGCGTGTCAGGTGCTTACAGCTGAGGGAGAGGAAGCTAGCGTGGGGTGGTCTGGTGGCTGGTGGTGTGCGGCTGTGCCCCCAGGTTGGTTTGGAAGTGCCTTATGCGTGAAGCCGAGGCACATGCCGGGAGTGCATGCACACTCCAAGCCCACATCTGAAGTCCCAGCATTATCTTGAACAGCCAGGATGGCATGCAGCAGAACTGGACCCTGCTGCTGCAGGTGGGGTGGAGGGAGACCAGCTGACCTGTGCCAGGGACTCCAGGCTGGAAACCGGACTCAGGTGGCACGTTAGCCCATGCATGAGCTCAGACTCCCAATGCAAGGGGGCACGGCGGGGTCTGTGGTGGGTCTGTGGCGGAGGGCTGCTAATGCTCTAGTGTGGGCGGATTTGGGTTTAAGTTTCATTTCTGTTATTTGTGTTTCTCTTTAGAAAAAACTTGTAGCGAAGGGAGGCAAAAAAAAGAAGCAAGTTCTGAAGTTCACACTGGACTGCACTCACCCCGTGGAGGATGGTATCATGGATGCTGCCAACTTCGTAAGTGAGCCCCGGTGCCAGTGGGGCTGATGGCCACAGGCGCCCAGGCTGGCTTCTCGGGTTGGAAGTAGTTGGGGCAGCTAGAGAACTGTTCTGTTTCCAGCCTCCGTTCTGTTCCTTCTCAGAATTGGTATTATTAGATTGGAGGCTGTCCAAGATCCAGGCCCATGTCGCTGGGTGTTGGGCCTGGCCTCTGCCTGGACCTGGAATTCAGGTGGCAGCAGGTGGAGAGCCTGTTTTTTTAAATGATGAGTTTATTTTATTGGAAAGTCAGCTTTACATAGAAAAGGAGAGACAGAGAAAGATCTTCCATCCGCTGATTCACTCCCCAAGTGGCCACAAGGGTCTCAGCTGAGCCAGTCTAAAGTCAGGAGCCAGGAGCTTCTAGGTCTCCCACGTGGGTACAGGGTCCCAAGGCTCTGGGCTGTCCTTGACTGCTTTCCCAGGCCACAGGCAGGGAGCTGGAAGGGAAGTGGAGCGGGCAGACTCGGGCCGACACCTGTATGGGATGTCCATGTTGACAGCAGCGGCTTCACCTGGTGCAGCACGCACTAGCCACAGGAGGCTTTTAGTCAAGGCTTATCGAAAACCAGGGAGGGAACGACAGAGACTCCTTCGGCCTGGTCACTCCCAGATGTTTGCAGCGGCCGGAGCCACGAGTCCAGGAGTCCATGTGGTTCCTGCATGGGGGCAGGGGCCCTTGCACTGGAGCTCTCCTCTGCTGGCTTCCCGCATGCATTTGCACTAATCTGGACCTCAGGTGGCACAGGCAGTACAGGAGCAAGTGTCGGCATGGCCCCCTGTCCCCACACCCTTTATTGGAAAGCCAAATTTACAGAGTAGAGACAGACAGGTACCCCATCCTCTGAGTCACTCCTCACGTCACTGCAGCAGCGGAGCTGAGGCAGTCGGAAGCCAGGATCTTCTTCCAGGACTCCAACGCAGGTGCAGAGTCCCGAGACTTTGGGCCGTCCTTGACTGCCACAGCAGGGACCTGGATGGGAAGTGGAGCAGCTGGGATACAACCAGTCCCCACGTTGAATCTCAGCACAAGGCGAGGATTTTGGCCATTAGAGTTAGGCGCTGGGCCCTCTGCGCGGCTGAAACGTGGGTTATTTGCAGATGCCTAGTGGTGTGCGTCTAGACGCCTGCGCTGGCCTGACCTGTGTCTCACTGAGGTCAGGAGCATGGAGCTGGCATGGCCCTCCACATGGGTGCAGGGTCCCAAGGCTTTGGGCCGTCCTCTGCTGCTTTCCCAGGCCACAAGCAGGGAGCTGGATGGAAGTGGAGCAGCCGGGACACGAATTGGCACCCATATGGGATCCTGGCACTTGGAGGTTGAAGATGAGCCATTGAGCCATTGTGTTTGTCCCCATGGCTGGAGTTTACCTGCTATACCACAACACTGACACATATGTTAAAGTTTTAAAGAAAATGATATTTTTTGGTCTGGCTAAATCTTCACTTTGCAAGCTTTAGGATCCTACTTGGGCACCAGTTCATGTCCCGACTGCTCCACTTCCTATCTAGCTCCTTGCTTGTAACCTGGGAAAGTAGTAGAGGATGGCCCAAAGCCTTGGGACCCTACACCTATATGGGAGACCGAGAAGCTCCTGGCTCCTGGTTTCGGATTAGCTCAGCTACAGCCCTTGTAGCCATTTGGGGTGTTGAAGCGGATGGAATATCTTTCTCCTTTTGGTAAATCTACCTTTCAATAAAAATAAGTGAATCTTTAGTAAAGTAAAAAGTTCATTTCTTTGGAACAGCACGAGACAAAGAAACCCCCTTCGGTAAGACCGGTCAGAGCCATGGAGGGGAAGCTTTCCCGGGCTCCGCTGAGGGGTGTGGAGCACCTGCCTCTCGGCTGTTGGGCACGTGGTCCCTTCACTGTCACTGGCCTGTCGTTCATTTCTTCCCACTGGGCTCCCTGGTCGACTGATGTACTTCCTGTAGAGTTAGCCTTAGTTTCCCCTCGGAGGTGCTGGGGTGGGGTCTGCAGAGGCCGCCCTGAGCCAGTGGGAGTGGTCGGGTTGTGCTTCCTGTAGGAGCAGGTGCTAATAGCTAAGGATTTGTTATTTATTTTTAGTCTTTTTTTTTAAAGACTTATTTATTTTTGGAAAGACAGATATACAGAGAGGAGGTGAGACAGAGAGGAAGATCTTCTGTCCGATGGTTCACTCCCTAAGCGGCCGCAGTGGCAGCAGCTGAGGCAGTCTGAAGCCAGGGGCCAGGAGCTTCCTCCGGGTCTCACACGCAGGTGCAGGGTCCCAAGGCTTTGGGCCGTCCTCCACAAGCAGGGAGCTGGATGGGAAGCAGGGCTGCTGGGATTAGAACCGGCACCCATATGGGATCATGTCACGTTCAAGGCAAGGACTTTAGCCGCTAGGCCACCGCACCGGGCCTTATTTTTATTAAGATGGCTGTGAGAGAACACATGGCTGTGTGCCAGTTGACGCCTTAACGCCTGTTGTAAGACTGAGGTGGCACCTCCTGAGGCTGTCACTGCAGCTTCCCAGAGTGGCCTTGACAGCAGCTGGGTCCAAAGCAGGACCCGTGTCACACCCCAGATGGCTGCAGTGGCCGGGGCTGGGCCTGTCAGAAGCCAGGAGCCAGGAGCTTCTTGCAGGCCTCCCAGGTCGGTGCAGGGGCCCAAGAACTTTGCCCCCTCTACTGCTTTTTCAGGTTGTTAGCAGGGAGCTGGATGAGAAGTGGTACAGCTGGGACTTGAACTGACGCCCTTGTGGATGCTGGTGTCGGTGGAGGCTGAAGTTGCTATCCTGCAGCCTCCTCACTGTGTCTGCCCTGCTGTCTGTAAGCCTGAACGTGGAGGAAGCAGCTAGGCTGTTGGAGGGCTGCGGGGCGACGGCGTGCTGCGGCCGGCTGTCGGGGAACCTGCCCCTGGCCTCACTGCTGGGTCCTTCCCCCAACCCCACAGGAGCAGTTTCTCCAGGAGAGAATCAAGGTGAACGGGAAGGCCGGCAACCTTGGCGGCGGGGTGGTGAGCCTGGAGCGGAGCAAGAGCAAGATCACCGTGACCTCCGAGGTGCCTTTCTCCAAGAGGTAGGGGCGCCCGGGCCCTCGCTGCAGGGCTGCTGGGAGCCAGCGAGCGCGGGAGTGCTGGGCTGGCGACTCCACTGCTGCAGGTTTAGCTCTTGTCTTTCATGCCTGAAGTAGCTTGGGCAGTACAGATCTGCAACATAGACCCAAGATGCAGGTGTTTGAGACGGAGGCTCAGCTCAGTGGTTCACTCCCTAAACGCCTGCAGCCTCTAGGGGCCAGATGCTCCATCCGGGTTTCCCTTTGGGGAGTGGGAAGCCAGGTCCTTGAGCCGCTGTGCACTGCCTCATCAGCTGTATTAGCAGAAAGCTGCGTCAGAAGCGGCTGAGCCGGGATAGCCACTGGCACTCGGGTACCATACGGGGGTTGGCGTCCCAAGTGCTACTAAGCCTGCTGTGCCACAGGGCCCACTTGTGCCCCGTCTGGTTTTTGGTGTTTTACCTCTCTGCTGGGCTGGGCTAGAAACTCCCTGGTCTTCTGTGTGGGGCAGTCGGGGTCCAGGCTCCTGAGCTGCTGTCTGCTTTCCCTGTGGTGCGCACCAGGGGCAAGCTGGGGCATCAGAAGCCAGGCAGCTAGGACTGACTCAGAACCAAGATGCAGGGTGTTGCTACGCACGGTGGAAGCTGGGCTGCTGCCCCCACCCTGCCCCTCACTGTGCCCTCCAGAGGGTACAGCTGGCTCCCTGCTGCTGCGGGAGTGTGCCCATGCACTTGCCCGATGAGTCTGAAGAGCTCCATTCAGACCCCAGTAGGTTCTTGGGTGCACGCTTGCTTGCTTTACAAGACGGAAACATTCCCTGGTCCCCGACAGGCTGAGACATGACGGAGGTGTCCTGGGGCAGACGGGTATGCTCAGGCCTTTCGTATCTTTAAATTTTAAAATGTGTTAGAATAGCAGACTGACCGTGCATGGAGGAGAGACACAGCTGGCTTCCCACATGCGGGCAGGGGTCCAGCTACTTGGGCCATCTGCTCGCTTCCTAGGGGGCAGCATCAGGGAGCTGGATCTGAGCTGAGGAGGCGGGACTGGAATCTTCCCTGATAGGGTGCTGGCACAAGTGGGAGCAGGAGTGGGAGGAGGCAGGGGCAGCTGTCGGCTCAGGGCGCCCCCGCGTCCAGCGGGCTGCTGGAATGTTCTGGAGGCTGTCGACCAGGCTGGTGTTAGAGTGCCTGCTGGTGCATCCAGGTTAAGTCCCCCTTTGCCCTGGGCTTCCTGTGTCATGGTGCTAATTGTACTTTCTGGAAGCATTCGGGGTCTCTAAGCTAGACCTTGATGCTGCTTGTCTCTCAGCACCATGTATTTTTACCAAATCTATTATTTTCACCCCAACATCCTGTTAAGGAGATCTTTAGGGCCCAGTACACTAATCTAGCGGATCGAGTCTTTGTCTTGCATGTGCTGGGATCCCATATGGGCGAGGTTCCTGTCCTGGTGGTACTGCTTCCCATCCAGCTCCCTGCTTGTGTCCTGGGAAAGCAGTCAGGGACGCCGAAAGCCCTAAGACCCTCCCACTCACGTGGGAGACCCGGAAGAGATTCTTGGCTCCTGGGGAGTGAATTGGCAGGTGGAAGATCTTTGTGTCTCCTTTCTGTAGCTCTGACTTTTCAATAAAATAAATAAATCAGAATCTTCATTTTACTGCTAATCTTTTAAAGATTTATTGCGGGTGGGGACAAAAACAAAAGACTTAACTGATTTTTGGAAAGTCAGATTTACAGAGTGAAAGAAACAGAAATGGAGAGAAAGATCCTCCATTCTCTACTTCCCTAGTGGCCGCCATGGCCGGAGCTGAGCTGAGCCGAAGCCAGGAACCAGCAGCTTCTTCTGGGTCTCCCATGCAGGTGCAGGGCCCCAAGGCTTTGGGCTGTCCCCCTGCTCTCCTAGGATACAACCAGGAAGCTTGGAAGGGAAGTGGAGCAGCTGGGATTATACCAGAACCCATATGAGATCCCAGGCGTGCAAGGCGAGGACTTTAATTGCAAGGCTACCGGGCCCCCACTGGAAATCTTGAATTTAACAGATTATCTGAATGTAGTGCAAATAATAAATGACAAAAGGTGTTTTTAAATGGGACAACCAACTTGGTTTATTTTCCTGTGGGAAAGTGGCTAGAGTGAGCTGTAAGTACACTAGATCCCTGGGGGGACAGGTGTGCGAGGTTGTGCCCAGCAGGGGCCTAGGGGGCAGATTCTTTTCTGAGTTTGGGAAGGGACAGAATAGTAGCCTCTGGGTGTTAAAGCAGGTGAGAAGAAAAAAGCTGGCAGGGGGGCACAGCACTGTATCCTACCATGTGGGCACTGGTTTGAGTCCTGGCTGCTCTACTTCCCATCCAGCTCCCTGCCTGTGGCCTGGGAAAGCAGTTGAGGACAGCCCAAAGCTTTGGGACCCTGCACCCGCTGGGTCCTGGCTCCTGGCTTCGGATCGGTTCAGCTCTGGCTGTGGTGGTCATTTGGGGAGTGAACCAGCTGGTGGAAGACCCCTCTGTCTTTAAATCTGCCTTTCAAATAAAAATTGCAAAAATAAAAAATAGAGTAAGGTGGCAGACTTATGTAATCACTGCGTAGGCAGTGGGTTGGCAAAGGGGAGCTCAGACCGGAGAGACGCTGCCTTAGCCGTTAGTCTGAAAAAGATTGGTTTGTTTTTATTGGAAAGGCTGGAGATTTACTGAGAGGTCTTTAATCCGCTGGTTCACTCCCCAAGTGGCTGCTAGAGTGGCCGAGGCTGGGCCAGACTGAGGCCAGAAGTCTGGCGTTCCATCTGGGACTCCCACGTGGGTGATGGACAATCCAGCACTCCGGCCGTCAGCAGCTGTGCCAGGCGTGCTAACCCCACACTGCAGTGAGAGCCTGCTGGGACTGCTGGCTTTCCAGTTTCTCTGAGCTTGCGGTGGTGTCTCGCTGGGCAAAGGTGGCCTTGGGCTGACGGAATAGGAAGCTGTGTGCTCTCTCTGTGCTGTGGGAGGGTGATGGCTGGGTGGTGCCGTGCTCATGCCAAGGGAGTCAGCCCCGTGGCCAGCGGGGTGTCTGGGACGCAGCCTGCAGCACACTGCCAGGGCCCTGTGCTACCGACGCTGTCCTGCGGGCCCCGAGCCCGGCCCAGCTGCCAGCTGCCAGCGGAGTCTGCTCGCCTGGGCTGGTTTTCCTGTTGTCCCTTGTGGCCGAGTCCCTGGCTGGGTGGCCTTGCCACTTGGGCAGGGTGGGAGGCACGTTGGGTGTATAAAGGGTGAAACGTTGCAGAATGCAGGAAGGCCCTGCCTGGTGGAGCTCTCAAGGTCCTTTCTCCACAGGTATTTGAAGTATCTTACCAAAAAATATTTGAAGAAGAATAACCTGCGTGATTGGCTGCGTGTCGTTGCCAACACCAAGGAGAGCTACGAGCTGCGATACTTCCAGATCAACCAGGACGAAGAGGAGGAGGAGGATGAGGATTAAACTCATTTCTCTGCAATATTTTGTATAAGTTCTTGAATAAAACTTGGGAACCAAACATTGTTGAGCCTGTGTCTGTGCTGCCCGGACCCCAGACGGGCAGGTGGATGAAGTGACCTTTCCTTAGTGCCCCAGTGCCGGGGCTCCTCCTTCCCTGGGCCGGGACACTGCGCTGTCATTCTCGGCTTCCCTTCCCTGGTAGTGAAATGCCAGCACACTGCGTGCCCTTAGCTTTGCTGCGGCTTCTGTAGCCTTTCTGAGAAGTGTATAAACAAGCCAGTTTGTAAATAGTGCATTTCGTCAAGCCTTTGCAACTGCTGTCACCTTGACCTCCAGCAGGGGGAGCTGGGGACAAGCCTAGAACTTTCCTGCGGCGCTGGTGACAGGACCACCTGGTGGGTTGGGGGCGTGGGCCAGGGTGGACTTGGCCAGTGCTCCTGCTGGGGTCATGGGAGCTAATGGGCTGCCCCTCAGAGCTTCTGGCAGAAGCCCTCCAGCAAGACAGGCCACTGGGCCCTGTCCTGGGTGGGGTGGGAGCGGCCTGAGTGGGGGGATGGTCGCCGGGCTCAGTGCCTGGTGCCCTGCAGTGGTTGAACAGCTGTGCGGCAGTCTGGCCTCACGTGTGTTGGAGCCACGCTGTGCAGGTCTGTGCTCTCCTGCCACGCCGAGTCCACCTTGACTGCTGTGTGACCCAGGGGATGCGCGGAGCCTGTGGAGACTTTGCAGTTTTCAGGGGCCAAGTGTCTGCATTATCTTCTATGCAAATGTCCTGCAACAGAATTGTGTGCTCTGACTGCAGGTGCACGGCAGCATCCGCCGTCCGGGCTGTGTCTCTGCCGTGATGTACCGGCCGCCCGGGCTGTGTCCCTGCCGTGATGCACCGGCCGCCCGGGCTGTGTCCCTGCCGTGATGCACCGGCCGCCCGGGCTGTGTCCCTGCCGTGATGCACCGGCCGCCCGGGCTGTGTCCCTGCCGTGATGCACTGTGAGTTTGTAACGAGTTTACACATTTTGTTTGTTGCATTGATGTTCCCATGTAGTAGTTTGTAGTTCGGTTATCAGAAATTAACCCTGGACTCAAGTTAGCATATAACTTTTTTTTCTTTGGTCCTAGATTCAAAAACTTGTAATAAAATGGAAACTCAGTGGATTTTCTATGCCTTTCTGAACTCTTGTAATCGAGTTTTGATCACATTTGATATTAAAGTGGCTAACACATGGCTACTAAGACTTGTGCAAGGCCTGTTATTTTTTTAAGGACTAACGTTAGTCTGACAGCAGGAGTCTTGTCTTTTTTTGGCTAACCACTTCATGCCCTCTGTTAGCGTGGGTGTCCGGCTTCCCCTGGTGATGCAGGAGTTGGCCATGCTGGATGCTCTACATAATAGTCCTGTCAGATCCAGGGTCTAGAGAGTAACGCAGACAACGTGCCGCTGGAGCAGAGGCAGCATGCACTGACCATGGTCCTCCCGCCCCCGCGTGGCAATGCTTCCTCGGTGTCTGCTCTCGCGTGGGTGGGGTGAGGGTGTCCCGGCCCTGGGGGGTGTTTGAGTTGGTAGGGTCCTACTTGCTGTCACAAAAGAGGCTGTGCCAGGGAGCGCTTGCAGCAGCTTCCAGGATGGTGGTCGGCAGAAGGCTTCCCTGTGGAGACCATGCAGTCTGACTTGGTGCTGGTGGGGGTTCCCGAGCGGTACAGCTGCATCAGTAACAGCTGTGGTGTGCAGAAGCTGGCCAGCTGCCAGGACTGGACCAAACCTGGCATCTTTTTTGGAAGGATTTTACTTATTTGGAAGTGTTAGGGATGTTCCATCCCTCTGGTCGAATCCCCGAATGACCCAAGCTAGAGCCAGGAGCTTCTTTGGGTCTCCTGGGAGGGTCAGGGCCATGGACTTGTGATTCCACTTCCTCCCAGGTTCATTGGCAGGAAATGGAAAGTGGAGCAGCCGGGACTTGAACTGGTGCCTGTATGGGATGCCAGTGCTTGATATGGGAGTTGGTGCCAGACACCAGATTCCTTGGAAGGACCCCACTGAGGGAAGTGACCCTTTTGTTAGTGTCACTGACATTTGTGGGCACGGAGACCCCACTTGCTTTCCTCACGCTGCGAAACACTGCTGGAGCCAGGTGGTGGGGTGCCCTTCCAGGTGGGTGTGGTCCGACTGCAGGTCCTCTAGGGAAGGCTGCATGGGTGCCCAGCAGCGGTGCCACATCCATGTTTTGAGTCTGTGCTGTGTTTCCAGCAGTGCACCTGGGCAGGCTGCACAGGTGCCCACACTCCCCCACAGGAGGCACCTGTGTGGGGCTCCTGGCTCCCAGTGTGGGCCTGGTCCAGGTCTGACTGTGGAAGATACCTGTGGTTGTGAACCAGTGGTGAGTGGTTGATGGCCGTCTTCCCCTCCAGCCTCCTCCCTCCCTCATCAAATAAAAAGGAGAAATGCAGTCTGGTGATCCAAGAGTTAGTCTGCATCCCCTCAGGTAAGCCTGGCGCAAAGCTATGCTCCTAGGAGCCCTGGGTAGCGGGAGGTGGGCTCAGCTGCTTCTCTTTGCAAGTGTGGTACAGCAGCTCTGCCAGCCCAGCAAGGGGGAATGCGATGGAGGGAGGTGGAGGACCCCCTTGCCAGTGATGGCGGGACGATGCGATGGATTTGATTGCATCCACCCTCAAGGGCCCACCGGAACAGTCCGTGAGGGCTGCACTGGCTAGTGCCTGCTCCTGCAGAGAACCCGGAGCACCTGCTGAGGTTCACAGAGCATCCACAACGTGCACGTTCCACGCTCTGAGCAAAGTCTTGTGTGTCAGATCTGCATGGCGGGTGACCGCCAACCTGTCCCCAGGGAAACTGAACCGTGGGCCGTAGGGCAGGGTTTGATCTGTCACTAGTCCCTTACGGTGTGGGGTGATGTGGCTTGGGGGAGCCTGGGTGGAGCGCTCCTGGAGCCCAGCATGTGTAGACACAGACATGTGACTTCTGCTGTTCCTGGAAGCTGTATCCTTGATGCTGGCAGAACCAATGTATTAAAACATATTTTGATTTTTGTATTGTCACTGAGGTGTAATTATGAGCTCTGTGATCAGCACGGGCCTTGCCTCCGGAGTTGTAACCCTAATGACGGGCTTGTTCTTGCATTGCACACTTTCCTGAATGCTCGCTTGTTTTTCGGGATTGCATTTGCGGCCACTGCCATCCAGACGTGTGGTCCAGGAGCGCTGCGGTCCTGAGATCTCTCTGTTCACAACGGCGGGAGATCTGTGCCAAATGCTTGTGTTTCTCACCGCGCCTGTGTTTTGCTTTTTGGTCATTAAACTGTTGTCACGTGCTGGCGTCCGTGGGGGGAGACCGGGAGGGGATGAGCGTGTTGACTGCAGTGAGTGGCCGCGGTCTGCAGCTGGGTCTGTCTGTCCTCTCTCGGATGGGGTCTTGGCTTTGTCAGCCTCATGGTGGGAGACTGGAGCCCCCACGAAGGGGGGTCCAAGGTCTTCCTTGTGAGCATCTGATGCTCTAGCTCACAGGAGAGTGTGTTGGGAGCTAGTGCTGGAGGGGTGGCAACGGTGGATGGCGCTCGAGGCTTCGTCCTGCCCTGGATGGTTGGTGGCATTCAGGCTGACAGGAAGGGGTGGGGAGGGCCTCCCAGGGAAGACCTGAACCCTGCTTGAGCCTAGGGACCCCAGCCCCCTCTTGGCCAGCTCCTCTGAGACGCAGCCCTGGATGGGAGGAAGGTCCCCTTCCCCCCATGGGCTGCTCCAGCATCCCTGTAGGCCTGGGAGCAGGCAGGGCATCCTGCTTGGCATCAGGGGCAGGCACCTTGGGGAGGCGCAGCTGCTCCTGCTCAACTTGGGGTCCGGGAGGAGACCGGGATTGGGTCCCCAGCTCCCACCTGGCCTGGCCTTGGCCTTGGCAGGTCTTTGGGAGTGGAACACCAGCTGGAACGCTCTCTTTCCATCTCGGCAGCGTAGGCATACCTGTGCAAACCTGTGCTGTTGCAGGCATGCAGAAGGAAGGGTAGCTTTTCCTTGGGACTTGCTGGCAAACAGGAAGGCAAAGAGGGGCAGGTCTTCCCAGCCTTCAAAGCTAGCAGCTTGGACTCGCCCCAGATGCAGCCAGGTGAGCGCCAACTCTCCTGGTCCCTTGAAGGTGCCACCCGGGCACGGGCACTGCTCACCCACCTTCAGGATCTGAGGCTGCTGTGAGGAATGGCCATCTGTTCCCACTTGCGCTGTGCGGATCCCCGGTGGGTTCCCCAGGGCGGCTGGCAGTCAGCAGTGCCACAGGACCCCCCCCCCCCCCCCCCCCCCCCCGTCCAACGGCCCTTCCTGGGAGAGCTGGCAGCCTGCTGGCCACCGATGCTGCGGCAACCCAGGTCGAGCCCGGAGCACTCATTTGGAATTCTGGTCGTGTCTCGCGGCCACTCAGGTCCTCATCTTCACCTTTAACAAGTGACTCCCTTCCGGCCTGCGACAGGTGTCGCTTGGGAGCTGGAGTTCTGGGGGACAGAATGCAAGCAGGGCCGAGCCACCCACAGCCGGTCTCTGGGGTTGGGACCTAACACATCCTTTTGTCGGGGTGGGGGAAGTCGGCTGCACGAGGACAGGAGGGGCGAGGGAAGAGCCGGCCCTCATGTTGCTTTTGGGAGGAGGAATCGGACCTACCGCGTCCAGAGCGGCCTTACCTCAGGCGCCTAGCACGTTCGCTTCTAATTCTGTTTGCAGAGGGGTGAGAAGCGCACGCAGCCCGGGACCCCGCACGGGGCGCGGCTGGCTGGCACGGGATGGCCACGTGCAGCGGGGAGCTGGCCGCTCGCCGGCCCGGACGCCGCCCCGAGCCTGCGGGCACCGAGGGCACCGAGGGCAGAGCACCCCCCCCCCCCAGGGCGCGCTGGCGGGGCCGGTGTCTCCAGGCTCCCGGGGTGCTCCCGGGACCAGAGTGCAGCTGCCGCTTGCGCCGTCGGGTCCCCGCGCGGGCGCCTCGACGGCGCCTCCTGCCGATGCGCCCCGACCGCCACCTGCACCCCGGAGGCCCGGGACTAGTCCCCCCAACTTGTTCTCGGCTGCTAACTAGTC